CCCTGCCCCATGCCCCCCACCTCCTGCCTCCAATAATAAAACATTAGCCAGAGTTTGGGCTATTAGTGTCAGACTGTTGGCTTGGCAACTATTAACCTTTAAATGATTATATGGATTTCTGGTTTTGTCTTTGTCTTAAGCAGCAAAAACTTCCAAAGGATATTGGGTTTCTAGCCACATCCCAAGACTGAGTCAAGGAAAAAGTACATATTTAGAACCTACAAAGGTTAAGGTTCGTTACACAATATCAACTTCTAGTACCGTGAGGCTGGATGAGATACAGATAATCATCTACTCCACTCCCTGCGCTAACAGATAAGAAAAACCGAGGTCCAGAGAGGCTAAGTGATTTCTCCAGGTTCACAAAACGTATTGTTCTCCAGAGCCAAATGACACATGGCTGCTGCCCCAGGAGGCCTCCAAGGACCATTCCAGAGTGCAGAGGATCTGGCTAAGTCGTGGTCAGATGGTGATTTTAATCGGTATTTGAAAGAGAATTATCAGCTCACTAAAACAGAATGTCTTCTCTCTGACACACTGCTGCTTTTCTCTGGCCATGTTTGTCAAAAGGACTGCATGAGACATGCCAGGCCAGCAGGGTAAAACAGGAGCAGGAAGACTGGTTCCCGAAATGTTTTATGTCTGAAATAATCTTGGTCTGGCTTTACTTCTAATTCCTTGAAATCATAAAATATAAAATTAACTAGAAATGATTTAAAAATAAAACCCCTAAAGACAAAGAACTGTTTTCTATTTACCTCAGAATCCAACTTCCCCAAACAAATCAAACCACCCCAGGCTGGACGGTGATGGCTGGAAACCCCAGACTTTTGTGCATGGCAAGAGCAAGATGTCTGGTGACCCAGTACAGGACATAAAAGGATGCTAATGTTTTATTCTTTAGTAGACAAATATAACCGAATATTCACTAATGTGGGCAAGTTCAGGAAACGATCCAAAAGTTTCAATTACAGAACATCCTCAAGACATAGAGCTGGTGTTTCTTTCAAGTTTGAATAAACATTTACCAAACATTTCCACATTTGGGGGATAATATGTAAGACAAAAGTCCTGGGAGCAACAGCTGCTCTTACATCAAATGTGTCTTATATCAAATGTGTCTAAAATGATCCATAATTAGCAAATCAATCGTCTGCCAAGAAAGAAGTACTTCTAAAACAGATAAGGATGTCTAAAACCAGCTGCGTGTGGCAATACTCATATAGCATGACGCTTTCCACTCTGCCATGTGCCAGGGTCACACAGTGGCGATGAGACCCAACAACGCAGCTGGACAGGACACACTCTTGAACTGAAAACTGGGTTTCCGGCCTCCAGAGTCATCCCCCACAATGACCCCAGAATCCATTTGTACCATCGATTCTCTTATCAAATCCCCTCTTCATCAGTGAAGGAGGGATTCAGCAGCAGTCCAAACAGAGTGCAAATTCTAAGATGTGAAGAGTTAAAATTGACGGAGTTTTCCTTCAAAACAGAAAATGGGCTTCAGATTTCTGAAAGTCACTACCAAGGCTGGGCCCTTTAAGGCGTTTGCTACAAGCTAAACCTACTGAAAACCACAGTGACTTCATTAACAAGACATTAAAACTCAGTGGCAAAGTTTATTTACTAAAAAGATAGAAACAAAGAGTTAGATAATGAAGAAGATGTACTTATTCAAATAAGGAATAGGAAAACCTCTCTAAGCTGATTCACACCAACTTCTCAAATAGAACTCCAAACTGGTATCCAAATCCTCCAGGGTGCTTACCGTGTCTGTGTTGGCTGACGACGGGTAATGCCGGAGCGAGATCTAGCACCTAGGACACTTTCAACGTGTAACAAAAGTGTTTTGCACACATGGTTCCTATTAAAAGACCCTTACTTAAAGGATGGGAAAATGAGCCATCTTGTCATTAGCCCTGCCCTATTCCTCTGCCCTAAAAGCTTTTTTCACTGATCTCATCGCAGTGCCATCTCGAGGCACCTTGTGGCATGGCCACCACCACAGTGGGCATGGGAGGACATCTGGGACTAAGGTCTCAGAGCACCCTGTGTCGGCTGCTGGGTCTCATGTCCTTTATGTCCTGCAAAGCCTGGGTTCTGTCTGTGAATACAAAACTAACCAACTTCCTATGAGATGGAAGTTCCAGGGAGCTTAAAGGAAAGACTACACTTTGGAGGTACTAATTAGCTAGGAGAACAGACTCTGCCTCTGTAGAACCGGTATTAGTCACTGGGTCTAGAAGCTTTTGGGATCCTTCCCAATGTCTGAATAACGTCTAAACATAGTGCTGAGAAGATGTAACAACTAGAGAAATACGGCGTGTGATGTTCTATGCCAACAAGATGGCTACAACACAAATAAATAAATAAAATCTTTAAAAAAAAAAAAAAAAAAAAAGATGGCTACAACACACACTTGATATGCACCCAAGTATTCTGTCCGAAAACACAAAAATGGGGAATGGAGACAGATCAGTTAAAACACAAGAAAGACTAGAAGAATTTCAAAGGAAAGGAAAAAGAAAAAAATATATATACCTAAAACCTACATACACAGATGCCCCAGTGAGGAGCTTCTGGCAAAGTGACAGAGTGAAGTTTCACAAGGAAACTACAAGGGCACCAAGTCAAGGTGAGTATGAAAGTATGCAAAGCAGGGGCGACCTGCCAATACAGGCACTCCTTTATTTGGAACACAGTGTTTTCCCCACCTGCTTTATCAGACAATCAGTGACAGCAGCGTGGAGACCCTGAGTTATTCGAATTCCACACCAACTGAGCGGTACAAAGTTGACTTTAAGCAACAGATATTTTCTGCTTCTGTCCCTTGGGCAATCGAAAGGACGTGGCACCTAAGAACTTTCTCTCCTAAATTTCTCATTTTGCGAGAGGAAAAAAAAAAAAAACAAAAAAACAAGATCCCTCAAGAAAGTAGCTAATAGTAAACAGATTATTTCATTCTGTTCACTTGTATTCTTAGGAACTACTGTCAAAGTTTCTAAGTTCAAGATCAGGATGCCGACTTTAAACAGAGACATCTTCCGAGGGGACAGCTGGTAAGTGCCACACACTATGGATGGCTTAGTTTCACCTTGATGCCACATTCTAAGTATGTCCTCTCCTGAGGAAACAACTGATATCAGATATTTGCGAAAAAACACCAATTTTACTTTTAAAGATATATTTATTTATTTGAGAGAGAGGAGCAGAGAGAGAGGGGGAGAGACTCAAGCAGATTCCCTGCTGAGCGTGGAGCCTGATGCAGGGGGCTTCATCTCATGACCCTGGGATCATGACTTGAGCTGAAACCAACAGTCGGACACTTAACTGACTGTGCCACTCAGCCACCCCTTACTTCATTTTTTGATCATGTATATTCTCATTAAGGAGAAGTTATTATGGTTAAATTAAAAAAAAAAAAAAAGGCCAGCCAGCATGGGCCAGGCCAGTTGCCCCTTAAAAGAGACACATGATCTGCTTCTTGGTTCTGCCAATAACTGCCATGTATTACCTGACAAATTAGAGCATTTTTTGAATCCTCTTTCCTCGCTCAGGTGTAATGGTGTTGACTCTATTAGCTCATCTGGTCCTCACATTTTTAAAATGAGTTACTGCAAATGGAAAGTGTTTTGTTCAAACGTGAGTGATTTTCACAATCACACAACCAAGCCAGATTTCAGACGTAAACAGTATCTATCACTCACGACCCTGTGTTGCGCTACGACCATCACGTGGAGACGCCCAGACAGAGCACGAGATCCCAACCCTTGCTGAGTCTGCTATTTTGGGGTGGATTTCAGGAGGATAGACCTGTTACTGTTTGACAGTCACGTAACTGCTAAACAGGAAAACCACGATTTAGGGTCCGGATTCTTTTTGTAGACATGTAAGAAGTGCTCTCACTACAATTCCCTTAAGCCATGAGTGTGCTCATGGGAGTCACATGTGAGCCGAGAGACTGAACTGAGCAAGTGGTTATGTCTCACTCTGGGGTCAAACCCACTCAAGTTTTCTGAAGTTCTAAGTACACAGCCTTATTTCCCACAGTGTCGTCAATCAGAAGAGTGCTCCTGAGATCACTGGTATTCAGAAAAGCTCCCTCCATCTTCTTTGCAGGTCTCTAGACACTCAAAGGACTGGTGAGCCACGGGGGCTGGACAATTCAGGAAGCAAGTAGATAAGGATTTACTGAGTGTCCAATCAAGGCAGGTTGTAAGTGTGTGGGACACAGAAACATGTCCTTCCAGCTCCCTGGCAGGCATCTGAGGTGCTGGGACAGTTTGCTAGCATTTACTTGTTCAGGAACTAGTAGGAGAGGCATAACATGACTGCCTCCATTCACTGAGATCTTGCAGAGAGTGACACAATGAGAGGACAGGAAAGGGATGAAGACCAATGTGGTGTAGCACCTGTGTCCACATGCCAGGGACCAGGAACCCTCACTGACTGTCTCATTTAATTCTCTAAGAAATTGTGACCATATCCACCTCTATCTTACACACAAGGGCACTGAGGCTTGGAAGCTGAAAGAACCTGTCTGAAGTTGTGGAGTAAGGAAGAGCTGCTTCTAGCACTCGCCCATCTGCGTCTCCCAAGCCAACCCTGATCTCCCAACACCAGTCTGGTGGGTGCTGAATGCCACCAGGAAATGGCAGAGCCTTACACCCCTTCTTTTGACCACAGCAATGGGAACCAGTGACTTGAGAAATCCCTCAGGGAAAGGTCAGCGGAACAGGTCAGTTTCTGCATAGGTGGAAAAGGAGTCGGGAACCTACCAAGTGGCACCAGGATCTCAGCTGCCCCCAGGCTCAGCCATCACACCAGCAGTGGGATCTTCACCCTGTGTCATGGCCCGGGGACAAGCTCAATGAGAGCAACTCCTTGTCCTACGCCTGTCTTAGGCCGCACAGTGAGCCACACTCCTCTCTTTCCACATCCTCACTGTACCCCCAGACCCATCTGTTCAGCATTCTGAGGCTAGAGGCTTGGCTCACCTCCTTATGGGAATCTTTATGGGCTTCCAGAGTCTTCATAATGGTCAGCTCGGCGTAGTTTTTAAATCTTGCTGGCTGGTTCCTCAGAATTTCTCGTAAAACCCTCAGTGCTAGTGCTCGGATGGAATGCTGGAGTACAAGAGGAAAGGAAGACATTAGCAAATGCTACCCAGCACTTCAATGAGCCTGCCAGCTAGCAGCGCCAGGCAGGGCCAGGCACCCAGCCCTGGGCTTCCCTGGCACCTCACTGGCACCCTGACAGGTCACACCGCTTACGTGGCCCAGGCTGAGGGGCCGGCTCCATGAGGCAGGCGCAGGGCCCAGCACTTAGAGGGATCTGATGAAGGTTTCTGGAATGAGCCAAATAAGGACCAAATGAGACCAAATGAGGACGATACATCTAAGTTCATTATCCATCTCCTGGGGGGGGATTTCCAGATTTCCTGAGGCTCAGATATACAAAAGGCAAATTACCCTTCTGTAAAATGTATATAAGAGCAGGTGAAAAGCATCTAACCATTTCATCAACATGACCTGTAAGACTGTGGACTGAGAGAGTTGCAGCCCTGTCGTTACTCCCGACCTTCTGTGTGATGAGATCACGGGGAAAGGGAATGTGCACACGCCTCGAGCTGTCTGCGGCCTGAGTCTCACCACTTGGAGGAAAGCCATTTCAAACAGACTCCTAATCTCAGTAAAAGAAAATGGGGTTTACACCAAACAGAGCCAAAAAGTACATCCTGATCCTCCGCCGCTCATCTGTACAGTTCACACACCACATCAGTTCACACACGGACACACCATCCACCTGCCCTCTCTGTGACATCACTTTAGCTCCCAACAAAGCCCGACTAAGCAACGGGCTTCAGCAGCCAATACTCTGCTGCAGGGAAGTTAATTCAGCCCTTTCGTCACTCTCCTTCCACCAGTATACCAACCCATTAACCCCAAGCATCAGAAAGAAATCAGTCACCACGACACTCTGCAGCCCACGTGCACCCGTCTCCCAACAAAGTCACCACCAACAGGAACCTGAGCGTGACCTATACCGTGGGCAGTGTTGAGCCTCCACCGAATCCACCCAGTCCTGGCCCTGAGCTCTTCACCACACCTACTGCATTGCTGTTTCCGCCAGCCTACACAAAGCCTGGTACAGAGATGGATTTTTACTTCTAGAGTGTAATTCAGACAATTCCCAACGTTTACTGCTGTCTCCATGTAAGGGACCAACACACAGATGGGAGAGGGCAGGGCTCCGACTAGGCAGCTCCCTCCTGGCAGTCATCTACGTGGTGCCATGGGCGGGTTACAGACCTGGCATGGTACAAATGCCTTGTGGGCCACGTTTAAATGTCACAGCATGAAGAGGGTTTTTCGTTTTAAAAATAATAAAGAAGATAATAGAAACTAATCCACACTTTCAGAACTTGCTGCTTGACCAATAAAGACCACTGGAACTGCTCACATATGCAGGGCTGAACCTACACAGAACTTCATGGAAGGCAACATCTAGCAGGGTCTTTTAAAAAATGAACTTGTCTCCTTCTCAATTAACACACGAAACTTAACACTCATATAGAAAAAAGCTCATTGTAAAAAAAATTCCATGCTAACAAAGTTGTAAGAAATTCTATATAAGACAAAGTAACCTGAAGCAAGAACAAGTTTCCCTCAGGTCCTATAATCCTGATTACAATAAAAACCTGCATCTAATAAGCTAGGAACAGGGCCTATCTCTGACCAAAACATGACCTCACCAACTGCTGCTCAGAAAATATCTGAACAATGTTTTGATGTAAACAGTAGGCACAATACAGAAAGTAAAGCCGACACCACACTCAAGGAGAACAGGACGCCATAGCCTGTCCCCTGGGAAGGGGGGAAGCGTAAGGTCGAGGAAGGTGCCTCACGTCTTTGTCCCCGAGCGTCTCCAGCAGCAGGAGCAGGATGGTCTTGAAGTGCTCCTCCCACACGCCCAGGCTGTCCTCGCGCGTGATCTTGAGCAGCTCCAGCAGGGCGCCTTTCCGCTCCTCCACTCGCTCGTTGTGGTTGGACAGCTCTTTCAGAAGGTCAGCCACCAAGTCCGAATGGTCAATGGGCACTGGGGAGACACCGAGACAAGTCACATCCCAAGTCTCGTCCCAAGGGAACCCCCGGTGGCGGACATGCCCCCGGGGTTGCTCAGCTCCCCTCCGCCAGCTTCCCGCTCTCCCAGAGGCAGCTCCTCCGTCCCTGCCGCCGTGCCTTCCACCCTGAACCACCTCCCTCTACGATTTCTGCAGGCCACCTCCCCAGCTATGAAGACAGAGATGTGTGACCAGGTGGCAAGTACCGACAGCAGTGTCTTTACCCTTCCTTACCATCTTCTGCCCTCTCCTATTTCAGACAAACAGGGGGAGCCATCTAACAGTCTCTCCTCGATGGTCTTTCCCCCAAGTCTACCCCCACTGCAGCAGCCCTAAGTCAGGCCGCTGCCGGATGGTCCCCTCCTGCTGCCACAGCCACCGAAGCATGCATCTGATCCTCTCAGCATCACATCTGATCACCTCAGGGCCCTCCTCACTGTCACATCTGATCACCTCAGGGCCCTCCTCACATCACATCTGATCCTCTGACATCTCTTCCCTGCCCAAATGTCCAAAGCTTAGTAACCAGCGCAGCAAACAGATACTAGTCAAGATGTTTAGACTATTCATGGACTGTCTAGTCACAGACTAAACTCGCCAAGATCACTTAACAAAATTACTTGCAGGACTTCAACCAAAAAAGACATCCTTTCTCTTCCCATGTTCTTTCAAGACCTCAACTCTGAACATTCCCTTTCAATAGAAAGGATGAAAAGGCAAAGACAAATTATTAGACACTACTTAAATTTGATTTTGCATACTTTTTTTTTTTTTCCTTAAGGCATCTAAGGTAGGAGAACACACACACACACACACAGGAAGTTTGAAATGTTAAAGAACTCGATCTTTCCCCCTCTGCATTCTCACCTTTCTCTTTGAGCCTTTCAGCATACAGTCGGTGAATAGATAACAACCAACATCTACCCCAATCTCTGTTCTATCTTAAATGAGACCTACAAATGGGTTAAGTTAAATGAGCTATCAATTCTACGAGCAGTGAAAGGAAACAGCACCCTACTCCATGAAAGTATGATTCATAATAACCATCGTACCTGGCCTATGGCCCAGGAAACACCACTGGGATTCCTTGGGAATCTCTGGAGTGGCTACCCACTGGTGATCAGCAGATAACAGCCAGGGGATGTGCCTTCAAATGACTGAAGGACTTCATTGCTGTCTTAGGGTTCCATCACTGAGCCGTTGCAAGAGCACAGTTTTCCTCCTCCTCCTCCTTTTTTTTTTTTTTTTTTTTTTTTTAAAGCAGGCTCTACACCCACCATGGGGCTTGAACTCACAACCCTGAGATTGAGTCGCACACTAAGCCGACTGAGCCAGGGAGTCAGCCAGCTGCCCCCCAGTCCTCCTTATGTGTCCCCAGTGAAACTAGCATCTGCGCTAGTGTGGCACCCCCCTCTTTCCAGGGCCATTGTGATAAGTCTGTTTCCCCTGACAGACCTTGAACTCTCTGAGGCCAGGGACAGTGTCTCATCTGCCACCTTGTCCCCAGCAAGCTACAAACTTCATGACACACAGGGAATGCTAACTGTTTAGACTTCTAATTTAGGATTCTGATTTAATTTTCCATTCAAAATAAAAACACAAAACAAACGGCTTGGGAACAGAGCAGATATATATAATCTCAAAAAAATGACTATGAAGTGAACATGACAATCAGGTGAAAAGGAAATAATTAAGCTCCTGATAAAAATACCATCATACCAACACATACTTCGCTCACTTATTACTCAATCATGGACACTGGTCTTAACACAAATGTGAGACAACAAAACAAGACAGCAGACTAGTTCTGTTCTGTGCCAAGTATAGTTGGGACAAGTAATTTAACCTTTCCAAACCCTTAGTTTCCTGATCTGTGAAATGGGAATAAGCCCTCTATCTCATTAGCCATATAGGTAAAACACTGAGTTCAGCAGCAAGCACGTGGTACAGGAGCTCAGTATATGCTAGCTTGCTTCGCTCCGAACACAGGACAGAAGTCAACCCAAAGCAGCTTCAAGGAAGACCTGGTTAAAACGCTGGTGACAGAAGGGAGCTTCTCAGTGGTTGTACTTCCATACAGGATCCTACTTCCCTAGCTCAGGGCTGGGAGAGTGCACAGCAGGGGCCTCTACCCCCCAACAGTAGTAGCTAACTGCTACTGCCTTCGTGCTTCTGATTCCACTCAAGCCCTGGCTCCTCCGGGGAGCCCTCCCTCATGGGCACAGCTGACCTGCCTTCACCACAGTGGGATAGCTCCAAGTTTAGGTCAGCTGTGTGACTCCTACTTCACAACTGCCTCTGTGAGAAGGCTGTAAGCTTCCGGAGGGCAGACCCCGTGCCTTCCATGGCTAAGCTGTGCCTTCCATGGCTAAGCACAAGACAGGAGCTCAGTGAGGAGCTGCTGAGCGAGCAACTAACCAGAACAGACCCCGTATGTCCTGTAGGCCTGGAGCTGCTCTGACAAGAGGAGAGAGCCCCACAGAAAGTATTTTGGATTAGGGTCCAAGGGCGGGGGGGAATCACGCAAAGAAAGACGAACCATCTCGAAGCTGCTCCATGTCATCATCAAACACGGCCTCCTTCAGGGCTGTCTTGTCATAGGTGTTGATGGTGTCGGAGTACGGGTACGGATTGTAGTCTCGCACCCGGGGCCCTGGGAAGGCGCGGGGAGGCTGGGTGTTGAGAAGGGACGTCTTGTTATCCAGAGCTGTTCTGCCTCCCTCCACCACATCGCTGCCGCCCCGGCCTTCAGTGGCAGGCGAGGCAACTCCACCATCACGGGACACCTGCAGCACAGCACATGGTCATTTCCTGTTTAGGACTTTAAACAAACTCTTCCTTCCACTTTTCAGAATATTAGGAGAGTCAGATTTCGCACGTGAATTCTGGCCACTAACCAAAGGATAGTTACTAGGATTTCAATCTGCAAACATCTAATTCATAAACTACCTTAACGGGAACCCAACAGGCTTACTTTTTCACCCCTTCATTCACTCATTTACACGTAAAGTGTGTTTTACTTTGTACTTGGTGATGACTTTTACTCGAACACTTCTCCAGGAATCCCGTGTGTCGGCACTGCTGCCCACCATTTCTTCATGAACAGCAGGGTTTCCTCAGCGATGCCCTGACACACCACCAAGCTAGTGCTTCCCCGATTACCACCACAGATCTAAAGCAGCCCAACCCTCCAGGATATCCTGGCATGTATCCCCCCAAAGCCAAACAACGCTTACTAATCTCTAGCACTGGAGAACTTTCTAGCTGGGAGGCAGGTCACCCCCTGGACACCTGTGACTCTCAGCTGGGCTTTATGCTGAGTCAAAGAACAGGCTTTGTGGCTGTTTCCTGAAACTTTTTCTTCCTAACATATACTGAGACTTGTCCTTAACAAATCAAACCCCTGGGTCCTTTGGTCCTTGTGTCATGTTCCTGATGACCCCCTCTCTCCCAGGGGGTCCTTTCTCCGACGAGCCCCGGCCTGTCTGGTTTCCTTTGCAGGGCGTCACTATAACCCAACTAGCATGGACAGACCACCAGGAACAAACCCTCACTCTCCTCACTCCTGCCATAGGACTGTGTGACGATGCTGGAGCTGTCTCCAGGCGGCGGGACACACTGGGACTCCTGTGGCACATGTCTGACTTGTGCTTCTAACAAGATACAGCTCTTGCACCTTGTGCTTAAGCATTTTTAAAAAGTATGGCAAAAAAGCCAGTTTAAAATTGTGGCAAAATATACGTAGATCATTTTAATCATTTATATTATAGGTGTACAATGCAATGACATTAAGGACAGTCACAATGCTGTATAACCATGACGACTACATTATCTGTTAGGCAAACCTTCTGGTCTTCCCAAACCAAAATTCTGCACCTATTAAACAATAACTCCCTGCCATCCCTGGCCCGGGTTACCTCTATTCTACTTTCTGTCTCTGAATCTGACTACTCGAGGTACCTCATGGAAGTGGACTCATACAGTATCTGCATACATCACTATGTCACTTCGCCTAATCAAGGTCCATTCGTGTTGTAACATGTGTCAATATCACTTTCCTTTTTATGGCTGAATAATACTCCACGGGACGCATCTATCACATTCTGCTTATCCATTTATCTGTTGGATATTTGGCTGCTTCTCCACCGTCTGGTTACTGTGAATGATGCTATTATGGACACTGGGGTACAAGTATCTGTTCCAGTCCCTTGTTTTAATTCTTTTGAACATATACAATTCTTTTGAACATATATATATATAACAGATGCTGGAATGCATCTGGTTTTTAACACCATCAAAAAAGATGTCCTACTAAGTGTTAAGATGTAAAAAGGATATACAACACATGGGCAGACCTGAATAAAATAAGACTTTGGACTTTTTTCATGATAGGGAAATGATTCATGGATGATTTAATTTTTTTCTCCTTGTAACTCTCTTCTCAAAGTAAAACACATATTATTATTATAACGAAAGAACTTAGAAAAGGAGAAAGGGTTTAAAAAACTTAAGACATTTCTGAAATAAAACTAAACCATCCTAATTCTAATCACTTTTAACAAAAAGTAAAACGAAAGATCTTACTTTTTAAACTTGTGTATTATCCCTGTCCTTGTCTTCTCGCAGATTGTACGAGATGGGAATCACAGAGTACGCACGACCATATATTTTGCTTTCCTCGCAGTATAAGAATGTCCCACATAAATAGTGTTTGTAACCACAGTGTTTACTCATACCACTATTTCCATTTGCGTTCCAGTAAGATTTACTCAACTATTCCCCCTCTGTTTTTTAATATTTCTGGCTTTCATTACAGATAATGCTGAGATAAACTGCACTGTAGATAATAACTTTCTTTCCTTTTGCTGAGTTTCTCGTCTAGCTTAGATTGCCAGAAGTTAGATTACTGGGTAAAGGATATGAAACTTAAAATCACTTAGGCTGAGGGGTGCCTGGGTGGTTCCGTTGGTTAAGTGTCTGACTCTTGGTTTTGGCTCAGGTCATTATCTTAGTTAGGGTCATGAGATCAAGCCTCATGTTGGGCTCCAAGCTGAGCGTGGAACATGCTTAAGATTCTCTCTCCCTGCCCCTTCACCCCCTAACACCCCCCTACCACCACTCACACGCTCTGTCTCTCTTTAAGATATGTATGTACGTATGTATGTATGTATGTATGTGTATATATATATCAATATCACTTAGGCTAAATGTAATTTACTAAGCTCCAAAGCAACTGTATCAAGTTTCCATGCCACCAATATTATACTAGTTCCCTATATCCTTTCTAGCATTAAATATTTTAATTTCTCTTTGAAACAAAGTGGAACAATTTAGACATAAAATGGAACCTCAAAGGGTTTATTGTATTTCTGTAATCACTCATAAGGATGGACTTTCTCCCACATGTTGAATGTTCTCATCTCTGCTTTTGGGAACCATTTTCCCAGTGGATCTGACTTTCATCCTTATGGATGTCTGTCTTATTAGACTGAGGCACTTATCAAGCCAAAAAGACATACCAGTTCCCAAATCTTTCACGCGTAATGCATTTTTATATCCCCTCCAGCTTCTTCGCTAACACTCTGGTCATCAAGCAGCTAAGATGCTGAATTTTGAACCTGCTCAATAATTCAATTTCCACTTTATCATATTTAATGCAGATAGAAAAAAAAAATCCAGTGGAGCCCTTTCACTCCACAACTGACTGGTCCCTCTTTTTGGCTAGAATGTCCTTCCCAAAAGTTTCCCTTAAATTCTCGGACACCACACTATCCTGGCCTCCCACACAATAACCTATAGCTTTCCTTCCAACTCCTTTTCTTCCGTTTTTCCCTTAGTGTTGATGCTCCTTAGGATTTTGTCCTTACCCTTTAATGGGTCGCTTTCACTCACTTTTTAGTTATCATCAAGCAACTTGTCAATGCCTCTCAAATCTCTATCCCCAGCCTGAACGGCCAACCAAAACTCCAGACTGCTTTCTGCAAAGGCCTACGGGATATGCATGCTCAGATATTCCACAGGTCCCTCAAGTCACATGTATTCAAAACTGAATTCATTATGTTCTAAAGGGACTGACAAATGTTCTTCCTCTCTTTCTAGAATATTAACTCCCTGAACTGCCCCAGCACTTTAGAGTCCTAGGCAGAGACTTCTGACTCTAGTATTTCAGCGCATGCCCTACCCAACCCTACGTCCTCCAGAGTCCTCCTCCATCTCAAAGTGACAGCATTCTTTCTAAAATATAAGTGTGACCATGCCATTTCCCTGGTTAAAAATCCTATAAAGACTCTCCAGTGACCTCAGAGTAAAGTTAAGACATGGCAGAAAAGTCCCCTGGGTGTGAGTGCCCTTCCTCAGCCAACCGATGCAGCCTCTTCCCCAAACCTTGCCACCAACACGATACGCCTGCTCTCTCTACTTCAGCCACCTGCAAAGGGAAATCATGCCAAACACAAGGGCCCCCTCCTATCTGTCCAAACTCCCTCTGACCCTTTGCTTCACGCAGCTCCGAGGCTCCCAGTGACCTTTCCTGAGCACCAAGACTGCCCCAGTGTATCTCTCCAGTGCTGAGCGCTGGCTACTCCCCACCGCACCATGATTTCCCACTGATCTGCCTGCCTCTGCGTGAGACTAGAGCTCCCAGAAAGCCATGCTGGTGTCCGATTCTGACCTATTATTTTGATCATGTCATAAGAACAAAAATATGTCCAGGATAAACAAAATCAAACTGGGGAGAAAAAGGTAGTTTACATTTTTCACAGACAGCTGAGGGTTACTCAAAATTTTATAAAGTTGCCTTGGGCCTCTTAAAATAGTATTATTCTAACTACAAGATAAAGTTCCGTATTCATAGTGGTCAATCTTCAGAATTATCACTTAATTGAAGTATCATTCTCTGCTGGCCTGGGGATACTTACAATATCACAGTCCTTCTTGCCATCTCGTTTAATTGGCTCATTCAGATCCTCTTGGCTTCGAAAACTAAACTTTTCAATGGCTTCCGTAACTCCACGCAGAGAACTATAAATTTCTTCAGAGTTCAGGTTCTCTGTATCATACTCCAGCATGCTAAAGATCAAAAACAGTGTATTTCTTAAACTGAAGCATATGAACAAATCTGAGCTATGGGCATAAATTACTTCTGATGGTTTATGGAGTAAGAGGTGATTATTGTTTTGTATCTTTAGGTGACTTGGAATGAAAAGGAGACACCTTCTGTTAGGGCACCACCACTGGACAATTGTTCTTTGTCAACCCAGGCCCCAAATGCACTACATCGGCACTCGGTAAGAACCAGTGGGGAACAGCAATAACCACGAGAATGCAACAACTCAAAGGGTGACAACTGGTGACAATGCACGAGGTAATGAAAGTGGAAAAATAACTTTCATATCTTGAAGATGGAAACAAGGAGTCTGGTTGTTACTGGTCTCAAATGTACAAACAGATTACGAGGAACAGGCATTTCAAACTAAAGCTAGTATTACAAGCCAGTTTCAGAGGAGCAAAGCAAATGACCTCATAAAGACGGGGTTATGCTTGGTATTAGAAACTTGTGAAATAAAACCCTACATTCTAAAACCATTCCAAATCAGATCCACCCTACCGGAGGGCTCCCGACCACCTCTCCTGCCATCTAACCCAGGCGCTTGCTGTGAATACCAACTCTTCCAACATGCTTTTGTTTATGTGTTTTAGAATAAAAACATCTTTTACAGAAGAGTCACATTCCTAGATGGATGTCTGCAAGTATTTCAAAAAATAAGAAATATTTGTCCCTTACAGAAAAGTGATGTTAACTCTTGTTCCTTCAGTAGCTACACAGAGCAAAACATGAAACAGAGCAAAAGTCCCCAAGAGCCTTCGGGTGTAATGCGGTGTGTCGACAAGTAGGCTTTAGAGATCTGGAAAAGTGTGCCGAACAGGTCCTGAGAATAAAATCCACCACGGTCCCTCACTGAGAGTATCACAGACAAGCAGAGGACAAAGCATAGTATAAAGCAAGACGAGAAGCAACAGTCGACCAAGGACAAGTTAAAAAAGCCCCGTGATAGTTTAAGTATCACTTGTTTTAAGAAAATGTCAAAAGAAGATCAGGTTAGTCAGTCTGATGGAACTTACAGGAAGTCTTGAGCTATCCTGAGGATGCCTCGGGGACACTCAAGAGTCCCTGGCTGTACATAAACAAGCATTTGACAACACTATAAAGACTAAAGAAAAGCACTCTTGCCATCTTCAAGAGAAGGAACTGAACCCAGATACTCGCAGGCAGGAACCTCTCTTCTGGGCAACATAGCCAATCCTGTATGTTCTCACAAGAGGTTAAGTCTCCTGTAACTTAAAAACAAGTAATACTTACTAAGCCCACTCCCCACCTTTTCTTCTCTTTTTTAAAAGGTTTGGGTAGATGAACAAGACAAGATTTGCACAGTTCTCCCTTGAGTGTAGCCAGACCTCTACTGGCTGAGGCTGTAATGATCCAAGTGTTTTCCAAGGCTGACCAGGTTCTGCTGGGGCACAGCATCTGAACTCACCCTTCAGAGATGGGAGCTATTTACCACAATTTCAACACTCGCCCAGATAGCACCCATTCTTCTTCTGTGATGAATGAAAGAAAATCCATGCTCCAACTGTACTTGGAGAGTTCACAAAAATACACGCCAACTCAAAGACTGGCTCTGGCATCAAACACAAAAGAAATGTGAATGAACACGTTCACAGCTAAAATTCCATGTGTATACTGACAGGAGGTGGAATAAAACACTTGAACAGAATTCAAGATTTCAACCCCTGCTAAGTTCATAAGGTTATCTGTCCATGAGGCAACATCCCTTTAATATGAAGAAAGCATGAGAAGCACCACAGCTCCCGGCCCGCCTTTCTAGAACACCACAATACCAGCTTATGTGGGAACAAAGGCATTTATACATCTGGCCAGTACACTATTTTTTATATATAAAAACGGAGTATGATACGAACAAAAATATGCATACGAGATGTAAAAAGATGCCTTAAAATACTTTTAATCACAACAACCAAAAATAACAGCATAGCCCATGCAAAAGGAAAGGAAAAAAAAAAAAACAGAAAGAATGACAGATGGACAAGAGGAAGTCTGGCGGAACGTTCAGCTTTTTAAGGGATGTCACAATATTATTTTCCATATGTCGCTTCAGATAACATTAGCTTTCACATAATTCATCTCATTATTCGTAACCTGAGTGGTCTTAAAATATGTCACTTCGGTTCACAGAACTTTAGCATTACAGTAGCCCTTTTCAAAATAATAAAAGGATCCTGCCAGTTAATGTTCCTCCTTCTTACTTTCAATTAACAATGAGGAGTACATGTGCACGACCCAGTGTAACCGGTGGTGACACTTCCTTTGGACTCACTAGCTTGAGGTCTGAAGTATCTCCTTGGTACGAAGCTAAAACCGTGAGCTCCAGGTGAGAGACAGCATCGTTTTTTTTCTAATACGAAACAGGTAATGCTACGTTCTTTGCTAGTTTAATGTCCTGGCATTTGTTTTTTTTCCCAAATCAGTGCTCATGAGCCCTCATTTTTTAGGGGGAAAAAGGAAATTCCTATGAAAGCAGTCACTGGGGATCACCAATGCCGTGCTCCCGGGCAGCGGAACGTAAGGGAGCACAGCAAGAGGAATGCGGCGACTTTACCTATCGGAAGAGGCTTGCTTAGGGACACCCCGGTCTGTAACTTCCCTCCATACTGTCTTGCTTTAGCTCAGAGACATAAACCTTTAGGTTAAAGGCCGCTCCTGGCCTTCTATAAACACTGCAATTAGATCCCAGAAAGGTTTCCTTAGAATTCTTTAGATTAGGAAGAGTTGCTCAATCAGTCAATAGTCACCAACCCAAGGTCAGCCACGTTATTCAATACTGAGGCAGAACAGAGCTCTGCACTTGCCCCGTTGTAATGGGTCCATATCGTGGATGGGGAGGTGCATGAGGTCAGCTCTCCAAGAATGGAGACAGTGGAGACAGGAAGTTTGCCTTCTGAGATTTTCCTCTTTGTCATTTCATAGGGAAAAGATACCAGAAATGGAATTAGGATATATTCATTCCTTGTTAGGCAATCAATACAGTTTTGGCAGAAAGCAAAAGAGATAAAGATTTCCTCTTATTTGTAGGTAACTGATGGGTTTTTCTAAATGTAAAAGTCTCTAGTCAATGTTCTTTCCCTCCAATGGTCAACAGAAGTCATAGGTACTTATTAGCATTAGCAGTGTTATAGTGCATATGTGAAAGATGATTCTGGAAATGAGGTGCCCACCAGAAGGGGATCTTGATGGCTGGATGGGAAAGAGTGGCTGGCAGTGAGGCTTGGTGCCCGTTAGGGCATGCAGACAGGTCAGTGTACTGGAACACAGTCAATAAATGGGACTTCTACTTTGAAGCATGGCTAACCTTAAAAAAAAAAGTTTGCTTTATTAACATTGACGACAGCAGCTGTCACATTGTTGCTGCTGTCACATTGTTGCTGTGTCCTTGCCCTAACCTTGTGTATCTAGAAACAGTCATTACAGGATTCTCTGTACACTTGAGAAGCTACTTTTAAAGCTCTAAGAGTTTCGAAAGAAAGATGTTGTTAAAACATGTGGCTGACTCTGTTAATAATGCACAGCTTCGCTGAGTTGAGGACACAAAAGTAGGAATGTAAATCTGTGCAAAAGCTATCTATGAGGCATTCAGAATTAACAGACCTTTTTCAGTTCTGTTTTTACTCTAACCTATCAGCAGGTACAAACTCCTCTTACACAGCACAAAGACAGCTGGCCTGCCCCATGCTCTGCTCATGCGATGGCAGCCTGCTAGGGAAGGGGGCCTTGGACCTTTAGACCTTCGTAATAACGCCTAAGGGACCCTCAAACAGATATCTGTAGAAATCCGTGGCCCGTACTTTGTCCCACCGATTTGCCATCTGTTTTAAATCTGAAGGAACTCCCACCCCTTCTAGACTCATTAACCTCATCACCTACAACCAGGGGCTTGTGAGAATACCGACTGCTCTCCTGCCTAGAGGCAGGGCACGTCAATGAGACGCAGCAGTGAATGCACTTCTTGGGCCTCCCTTCAGGATCTGGGTCCTCCGACTCTTGCCACACGGCAGTACATCATGCAAGAAATCAGTCCACATCATCAACGGCAGGACTGAATGCAACACATATGGTCTGGGAAAGAGCAGGTCTCATTTGCTTCTCAGCGGGTATGCCTTGTCCTCCTGAGAAGAACACGAAGGAAACCATGCCCCTCTGGCCTGCCTTGACTTCAGGGCATTGCCCCAGCGCCTTTGTGGGGGCTCCGCTCTGCCTGGGCCTGCTACAGTAGGTGCCGCTGGATTTGGGCAGCTGGTGAAATGGTCATCTGTCCCTGTGACACAGCAGGAGCCATACTCATGCAGGTCGACAGAGCTCATGCACCTGCTCACACTTCTCACCAAGGCTCTACTCCTGCTCATCTAAGCCAAAGGCTTTCGGAAGACCTGAGACGACCCTGGAAATGCAATAATATTGTGACACCTCAGACAAGGTAAACAGGTAGCTTGTTACCTGGGAGAGTAAGAGCGCCTGAGAGTCTTGTGGGAGGGAGCGGTGGGAATGGAGTTGGGCTGAGAAAAGGGAGGTGGGTGCTTCGATAGGCCATCGGCACTCCAACCCCACAACCGACTGCAGTGATCAGAAGAGGAGAGTCAGAGAGAGACATAACAAGGCAACGGGGAGGGGAGATAGGAGGGGACTGGGAGACGCAACGTCCAATGTGTCTTCCAATCTCCTCTTTCCTTGACCAAGCTCTGTCAAAGCTGACTGGAGCAAAATTTATACTTCACCAGAGAAAATGCACAAAGTTTGTTTTACAGTTTGGCCCTCAATAAGGCTGCATTATTCCTTCCCGTCTCAATCATGTGCTACATTTTTAAATCATGAGATTCCAAGTGTAAGAGTGTGTGTGTGTGTTTGTGTGTGTCCACACTGGGAAGGATACCACGAGTACTTCTATACAAATATGCATGACTCTTCTGTCTCAGATAATGCAATCAATTGTTTTACAAAGAGCCAAAGAAGGAACGTCAGGCCTGAATTCCAACGGGATCCGAGGGACGACAGCAGGAAGACTCAGAGAACATGCCTTTCTGACCACAGCCCTGAAGCAGGGGATGATGTGCTCCCTGAGGCCAGGACCCGATCAGGGGCTGCCACGGGCAATTTCCTTATGAAAAAGCCCACCAGAGGGCTAGAGCGCCAGGTCTCCAAAAAGCCCCAATTCCCTGCTCACATCACCTAATATGAGAAATAAAACTCATCTGAGAACACCAGCATCCCTCCTCACTCCATAAATGTCACTGAGAAGCCTGGGCCTGCAGAGACCCGGGCAGACACTTCTAACAGCTGCTATAATTCAGAAGGGCCACAGCTACTGCAAGAGGCGTGAGCCAACTGGGCAGGAAATGTGACCTAAGGCCCGGGGTGGAGTTGTGGCATCAGAGACCACATTCTCAGGGAGCAGCACTGCCTGAGGCCAGCCATCATCCTGGTCCCATGAGCTTGTCTCTGCCAAAGACAGCTGTGGTCTCTTCTTGTGAGGTCAGTAAGTGTGGAGACGAGAGGTCACCACGGCATCCGAGGGCGCACAGACCTTCTCTGAGTCCCACACTGAGTTGGGGTGAGGTAACGGGAGGTAATCGGGCAGCCATCTAGGCTGGAGCTCTGCTGACAGGTAGCATAAGCAGATGTACCACCATCTCCCACTGCTGATGGGAGGCTGATCTCCCAGTTAATCCCCACTTCGCTTCTATGGAAAATCTTGACCCTCCAATGCAATGGACTGTAAAATCCACCTAAAATCACCCTTTATTACTAGGGGGACCAGGTGATCTATTTAGTGTTATTCTGCTCTACAACACGTTTGCCAAGAATACACAGCAGATGGGGGCGAGAACTGTCTACTTTCTGATCTCAAAGGGAATGGACATCATGCGATTTCTGAAGCCCCTTGAAACTCTGTGTTTCATTTAACACAAATCACACTGGGTAAAATGAGCTAAAAAACACATATGTGTTTAATGATGAAAAACTCCAGGTTACAAATCTCCTCTCTAAATACCCAGTAGTATTTGTTTACTAGCTGGGAATAAGGAGTAATTCTTCCCTCACACACACACAAAGCAATTAATGGGATGTTCTACAAAGATTTAACATGCTATGATTTTCTCTTAAGGTTATTGGGTTGATAAAAACAACTTTCTCCCTAGGGTTCTTTTCTACTATCAAATTAGATTTGCTTATCATTTTAGAATATTTCCTTATTAACACACCACAATCTGAGTGTAGAGTTTCTGGACTATAAAAACACTAGTTCGTTTTGATACAAAAAATTAGATTGAAAAGAAACAACTGGTAACAACTTTTCCCCTTAAGAATAAAAAATTAAAAAAAAATTAAAAAAAAAAGAATAAAAAATTAACATATGTTTAAGATGATTTGAAAGAATGACAGCTCACAGAATGTAACTGCTTCAAGAGCACTGCTGAGAAAAACCTCTGAGATTATACGTGGTGGCACTTGTCTATCGTCTCCTCAGGAATGGGGTAGTAACCTACTCCATTCTCCTATCTAGTACAAGAGTTCATAGCTTTTATAACTTTCCTGGTGAAAGTATGTGGCCTACCTGAATACTCCCATTGATATAATGACAGGAGGCAATTCTTCCTACTTCTTTAGTTTTAGTTGTGAGAAAAATCACTTCTCCTGAGTTCAATTAAGTTGTTGACTAAGGCCATTTGGGTAGATATGCCCTGAGGGCACATTCGTTTAAAAAACAGAGAGACCATAAAATTAAATAATTCCCTAAAGCCAAATTCGTTGGCAAGAAAACAGGTCACACTTGGCCTTATTCTTGAAAATGGTATTAATATTAAAAATAAACCTCTTTATTTCTTCCACTGACCAGTAACCCTGACAGTAAAAGTTAAGACCAGACCAACTAAAAATAAATGGTGATTGGAAAAATAAATTTTTTAATAATCTGGGGATCAAGTGAAGATTAATACTGAGCCAATTCTTAGCACTGATGGATTATGCTAGTGGTCTCCACCAGTCTTTTCCTTAGACTAGCAGCACAGAGAGCAATCAAAGTCTTGAGTTTTACCTTTTGCTTATTACTTAAGGAATGTGCCACCCTAATAATGAAATAACCAAAAGATAAGAAGTACAAACTGTATATTATGGAAGAGTAGATTTCTCAATTAATGGTGCAGAAGTATTACTTCTAGACAAAAGCAACTATTTACAGAGTATTCAAGTTTTCCACAAAATCCTTCCCCTGCCCTCCACCCCAAGAAAGAGAACTCTGATTTTACTGTTAACATTGGACCCTATAAAGTATATACTTTAGATACAGTTATTAACACGAAAAACAATAGTTCATTGAGCCTCAGTTACACCTATTTTTCATTCGCTCCTGATCTCAACTATCTAATTATAATAGCCTGCTAACAGCCTCATGACAACACAGACCAAACTTGGAGACGTGACATCATTCTATCCAAATATATAGTACCAATGGGATTTAGGAGGACTAGAAATAAGGCAATATAAGCAGTAGCATATTATAAGTATACAACATATTTTGTTTTACCAATAGAAAAACACAAATTTGACATGTTCCAAATATTTATATGACAATTTGAAGAACTGAAGAGAACTTTATTGGTAAGAATGGATGATTTGGGGAAACTCTTGATCATTTAAAAATCTAAAATAAATTTAAAGGCATTTATATTTTCTTATCATCTTGGTGTCAACAACCCTTAAGACACAGCCGCTTGATCCCTGTAGCCAGGAATCGCAAAGCTCTGGACTTCTGGTAAACAAACATAGCATGTATCACCCTCACAGGTCCAGGGACTAAGAAGTCTGGCCTCTAGGGCCACTACTCTATGTGAGGCCACTCCAAAACATGCCAAGGGGTCACCTGCAGAGACTTCCAAGGGCTGTGGGCAGATGGGGAAGTCTAAAGATTCCGAGATAAACCATTTTTGTTATTTTAAGTCACTGTCTCAGACTCTATAAACCAGTGTTTACATGGTCCCCATGGAAGTCTGAAAGTGCTGATCCAATTTTAGCTCTCAGGTTCTTAATACCTCTCCGGAGCAGCAGTCTGCTTCAAACGTGAGCCCATGATGACAGCAACTATGCTTGGAACAGCTGCTTGGTTGGAGAACTACCCCAGGCTATGTGTGGACTATTTTATTTAGATGACAAATACCTTCAGGTGTTCCTAGCACTTATAGAATAGGTGATGAATTTCTAAATGGTTTGTATATGCAACAGTAATAAACGTAAATATAGCTTTAAAATTTTAAGATACTAGGGAGTGCTCAGAGCCGGAAGAATCTCTGAGAACATTCAGCACAAATTGGCCATTTTGCCATACACAGTTAAGATCTGGGTGAGGACTAGAACCCATGGTCTCCTAATACCCATCCATTTTTTGGTATTAAGCTTGGTCTAAAATCCTAGAAATAGGCTGGACAGACACTTGGATGCTTTGGTTTCTTCACTTTTGTTGAAATGGCATTACCTGGGAGATAGGCCCCCATGGGAACAGTTGGTGGGTGAGGTCAGGGGGCTGGTCCTGCTGCTGGTGTGTCGGGAGGGAGTTCGGCCAATTGTATTGCTCGGAGAGCCCTGGTGTGAAAAAGAATAAGCATCATTTATTTGAGAGCTAAACACAGAGTATAGCGCCCCCTTTCCCTTAGGTTTTCTTCTTCCTTTTTTTTTTTTTTTTTTTAAGACTGATTGATTGATCGATTGATTTTAGAGAGCAAGAGCGAGAACATGAGCAGGAAGGGCAGAGGGAGAGGGAAAGAGAATCCCAAGCCGACTCATGACCATTACATCACGACCTGAATGAAACCCAGTCAGATGCTCAACTGTCTGTGCCACCCAGGTGTACCCCCCTTAGCTTTTTAACAACCACATGTAAATAAAAGGGCAAAGGTGGCACAATTGGGGTGACTTTTTTTTTTTTTTTTTTTAGGAATCATTAAGGCCAACTTTAAGTGCAAATACACCCAAAATGGCTGTCACATAGGGGTTTCTGAAGCTGAATGACTGATGTCAGCTGTGCTAGAGTGACAGACACAAACCGAGAACTTCCACCTTTACATACAAAGAAAGTAAGTAATTGTATGTAATTTACATACAAAGAAAGTAACTAATGAATAAAGGAGTAAGTGACCAAGTAAAAATTAACTGATTAAAGAACCTCATGTAAGAAAAAAGTCATATTTAAATACTAAGTTCATTCATTCCCTGGGAACACTGCAGTATCAGACACGGCCCCCACCCTCCAGATGCCCAAAGTCTACTAAAAGAGAACAAGAAAGCTGGCCCTTTTCTCAGGGCATGTCCAGACCAGGGATTAGCAGAGGTCATGATCGGTACAGAGGTACCAACTGTGACCGAGCACTCACCACACTGGTGTTACTAGCGTTCTTGAGGTGGTTATGCAGGAGTTTGGTGGCACCATCCTGGAATGTTTTTGGCAAGGCACCAAGTAACATGGTAAATTCAGGAGTGTTCAATTCAAACAGAGAGATCAGCACAATTTGTGCTGCCTGGAAAAAGAACGCTTGATTAATTTATGTAACAGACAACAGCATATTTTGGTCAAAACTTTCATTAAAATTATTTTACAAAAATGTTTTGTTGAGTAAAATAAATGAAAACAAAACAAAACAAAACAAAGAGGACACCTTTGTCATAAAAAACACAAACAAAAGGCATCTGGAGAAAATAAGATCATCAATTATAAATAGCCTGATTTCAATCTGGAAAATGGGCCCCAGTTTCATCTTCACATCCTGGCCCTGGGTTTTCACAGCATGCCCGTAATAAATGACTCTTCCTGTGTCGTCCAGCACTAGGCACAAAGCTGGTAAATCCATAAATGAAACAATTCAAGAGCGTGAAAAGGCTGATGATGGTTCACTCTAAGTCAGAACCGGACGGATGGGGTTCCCAGCGCATCCTGGGAGAACAAAGCTCTCTAAGAGCTGCCAAGGGGTTATCTGAGCAGCCACTTTTCTTCAAGCCAGCTCCGAGGGACTGAGACATTTTAGAAAAAGAGTTTAAATAATACATCCAAAACACTCCTACTATTAGACCTATGAAGTAAGGAGACGGTCCATGGGAAGCAAACCAGACTTCTACTCTACAAATGAAAAAGTACTCTTCCTGTGTTTTGGGAAATGCTCTAACTTCTCTTTATTAATTGAGACAATACATTGCAGGACTGCTGGTGGTCCCTGAGGCAGCGAGAAGGGAAAGCAGTTAGCTGAAGCGACAGTAGCCCAATGAGACTCAGGTTTCTCCAGCCAGGTATGGGCTTTCTGTGGTACTAAACAGCAGCAGGCACTCTGAGATTAAAAAATGCCTGAGGACTCAGAAAAACCATGCCAGAGAAAACTTCAGTAAATAATGGCATTTCTTACAAATTTCTGAGAGTCAGAAGAAAGAAAAACACACTACGAACATCTCCTGACTGAAAGGATACATTTATCTGTCCACAACACTCTTATTTTAGGATTGCAGTAATTATTCTGAGTATTTTTTTCCCATGATATAAGGTATTACAAAAGATATATTCACTTAGAAACGCTCTGGAAACAAACACCACAAAATATTTCAATGCTTTCACAATGTTAAAGTTAATTCTGGATCCAGGTAAGGCAAAACTATTATTTTTGTCTGGAGAAGGAAAAAAAAAAGAAAATCCAGAGACCCAAATGTATTTAACCAAAAATAAAAATTAATCATGAACTTTAAAATATCAGAAGAGTATTTTTTACGGCATCAAAAACTACTTTTTAGACATATCAAACGCATTTATTAAGCATAGCATTGGGCAAAAGTATCTTCCTTTTTCCCCTTGACCTCCAAATATAGTCATTAGTAGCCTTTCCAACCAATTTAAATCCCAAGGGGCCTGTGTGCTTTCATGACAGAGGCAAAACACATTGTTATTGACGGTGTTAAAATATACATTTTTACATTTTATTATTGAAACATTCTTAAGTTATCTGAAGGAATCTACTTCACCACCAATGTAATATATATTAACATGATCTGTACATTTGCAGAGAAGCAAATTCCAAAATGCATGCAAGGTAATCTGTGCATTTAAAAAAGCATTTTATTAGATGTTAGGGAAAAAATGCACACAGGAAAAACTGCACTTCAAAGAGACAGAAAGAAACAGACTTGAGTTTTAGCAGGGAGAAAAAATGTTCCCAATTTAGTAAGAAAGTTTAGGGACTTCTTTTTTAATGATTGACGATGACATTTGAAAATTATGTAATGTTTCAGTATAGTTTTGAATAGTATATTTTTATGTGAAATGTGCCACTGTCTTTACTTAGAAAACCACATTTCTTCCCAGAATGACAGAATATCTAAAACCACAAATTAAAACTTGAGGTTTTTCATGAAACAAATTATAAAATTAGTGGGATCTTTTAGGAACAAGAGGGCTGCCTAGAAATTGTGCTAATTCATGGCTACGTGCTATTAATGACTCTTAGTCATGCGGGAAAAGAAGTGCAGCAAACTTTAACTTCTGGCCCACTAAAGAAACTTCTCTTTCAATGACCTTAATGTTGAATTTTGATAAAAAATCGAACAGAAAGACAGGGAATTTTGAAAATATAGCTAGTTGGAAAGATGGCACATTTGCTGTGACTTATACATATAAATGAATATAATTTATTTTTACATTTTCCAAAATACAAAAGATTTTATACAGTCTTCAAAAGTCACCCTTTGATTTTAACACTGTTTTCAGTGTAAAACCTTTTCTAATGACATCCAAGCTCCAGAAATGGATATAAATAAAGTATGACTGAAATATGTTCTTTTAAAAAATATTTTACATCAGGGCGCCTGGGTGGCTCAGTGGGTTAAGCCTCTGCCTTCGGCTCAGGTCATGATCTCAGGGTCCTGGGATCAAGCCCCACATTGGGCTCTCTGCTCAGCAGGGAGCCTGCTCCCCCCTCCCCATCTGCCTGCCTCTCTGCCTACTTGTGATCTCTTTCTCTCCCTGTCAAATATATAAAATCTTTAAAAAAATATTTTATATCACAGTTTTAAAAGGAACGAGACTGTTACAGTCCTGAAATATTTTTATCTACGACCCTCTGTGTTAGTGAGAAGTCGGACTACTAGAATCCAAGCAAGGAAGAGAACTGGGTTATCATTACCATCAATACACCCTTTTTTAAGGTAGTAATTCCAAATACGGGGCCGAGTTGGAGATATTAGTTTAAAAAAACTTGGAGCATAGCTCATGGGCAATAACGAATCAAAGAGTAGAGTACGCCACTGTTCTCGTCCCATCACTGAACTCCTGCCTTTCACAAGAGGCGGGGCTGGTAAGCGGCCAGAGAAAACACTCAAGGTCGCTGCTGACTTTTTCTCATGGACAACTCAAGGGTCACTGGCTTCCAAGATCAAATAGCAACTTACAAGGACATGATCCCCACTCATGGCCCTACAGGAGAATTTGGCAGATGCGGGCAAAAGGTCCTTTGAATCTTCCACTGTGTGGAAGAATCCCCAGGGCAATCAACTGCCTTGAGAGCAGGAAAGAATTCTGTTGAGACAGGAGATCAATAAACCTTTGACAAATGCTCTGCACTGGTATTAATGGGGGAAAACTTAAACTTGGGGAGGAGAAGCAGCTTTCTAATTTATGAAACAACTACTGCTCCTCTAGACTGTCATCAGAACTGCTTTAGAAAATCATCAAAGGGTACCTCAAAACCTTCAGACATTTCTTACTGAGTATCTCTCCTTCACCACTCTGCTAAAATAGGGTAGACATGTACACTCCATGAGTGTACAGGCTTTGGGCAGGCGGTTAATCACAAAACACGTTAAAACGCATTTACACACACACACACATGCTCACATAGTATTATATGAACTTTAGGTTTCTTCAAAATCCTTTCAGTGTCTTGACAAGGGTAATCAGTATTAATCAACTGAAATGCAAACAGTGAAGTGTCTTTTTTCAAATTAGTATATAGTTTAAAATCTACCTGTTTACAATTTTCTTCCAAGTTTCCTTCTCCAGGCCCAGAGCAGGCAGCAGCTGACCTAGTGGGGAAATCCTCACCTACGCGACTACGCTGGAGCGGGGACTGACAAACAGGAATGGCGGCAGGATTTAGTGAGAGAAGAAGCAAGGGCTTAAACCAGGGTTACCTGTAAGCTGTGAACGTTATTTGGCATCTTTTACAGAATCGCTGAGGTCTCTATGATCTAACAGCTAAGAACAGGCAGAATAACAACAGTAATTCACCAGTTTCAAACCTCTGTCATTTCCTAGATGCGTAATAACCACAATCCTCACCAGCACTAGCAGCACTCTTGCCTTCTGTAATAGGAGGGTCCAAATGAGATCCAAAAGGTCAACTCATTTCTTGAAAGAGCCAGGCACAGTTAAGTGGAGACTCAAATCCTGTTTGATGGGAAAACCCTGAGCTTTGTGGCTAGGCCACACTGCCTACCTACAATCAGACTTGAACATTTTTCAGTTAGAGGGGCGACTGGGTGGCAGAGTCGGTTAAGCGTCATCCGACCCTTGTTTTCGGCTCAGGTCATGATCTCAGGGCCATAAGATACTCTCTCTGCTCCCCCCCCCCACCTCTCTCACTCCCTCTCTCTTAAAAATAAAATTAAAAAATTTTTTTCAGTTAGAAATTTCAACTTCAAAAGGCTTCTATCGTCTTCCTGTTCTACGCAACAGCATCTTTATACTTTCTAGGTTTTTTTGCCATGCTTTCAATCACCATGTTTCTCAAAACGACATTTGAGAGCTGTATCTACTATCTTCTCTGACAAAGTTAGGTGCTAAATGCCAGAGGATCATATATGATAAGCAAACCCACAAGGATTCTGAATCTTGAAATATAAACATACCATTAAAAATTCTACTGCATTATCATATTCCCTTTGGTTGATGGGGGAAAAAAATTCTTTCTAACGCTGAAAAAAACTGGGTTCTCCATTTGTTCCACAAATAGCAGCAGCAAAACTGAAACAACCTTTGAACAAACAGAGCAGGGGCCACAAAGTAAACGAAGTAATGTTTATGCTTTTCTCTACTGCAATTAGTCCTTGCAATGAAGCCTGAGACGGGGATTAGCATTCCCATTTTTTGAGAACAATGAGAATTCTCTAAATGTGAATTAAGAGGTTACCATGCAGACTCACACCAATGACTGGCAGAGGCAAAAGTCAAACAAAGGTCAAACTCTAGAATCTACTTCCTACTGTCAATATGTTATCTTTTTTTTTTTTTTAAAGATTTATTGTTTATCTGAGAGAGGGAGAGGGAGAGAATGTCAAGCAGACTCTGCACCTGGCAGGGAGCCCAATGTGGGGCTCAATCTCATACTGAAATCACAACCTGAACCTAAATCAAGAGTCGGACGCTTAACTGAGCCACCCAGAAGCCCCACGTTATATTACCTTAACATCAACACAGTGCCTAGAAAGGTATGGCATGGCTAACACAACTTTCAGGGCTACCATTCCGTAACACGAACGTTACTTTGGGAATAATGCAGCTGGTGGTGGGGAAGGCACTTTTCCTGCTAGGAAACCGGAAAAAAACCCATTAGTTTGGGCCTAGGCACACTCCACTGCTGACTGGCTTGTGTTCTGATTTTGGCTGTGCCTCTCCCCTCCTCTTCAAAACATCTTAAATATTTAAACACCCCACTCTCTCCAACATCAAACACCCCAAAATGCTGAGATGAAAAGGGAAACAAATATTAAAAATGTTAATAATAAATCAAGAGTTCTATCAGTTTAAAGTGCTTTCCCAAATAAGACTATACAGAATGAATTACACTGTCTGCAAACTCTCCAAGTATTGTTGGCAGAAAATTAATATTCTCAGATGCGTAGATTAAGGTTTTTTCATCAAATCTTGGAAGTCTGGGGAATATTTTTTCCCAAATATTTTCCTGCTGGCTTTGAAAAAGCAAACTGCCACACTGGGAGAGGACCATGTGGCAGGCAGTGGGTGTCAGGTAACCTCTGTGAGCTGAGAACACCCTTGCTGGCAGTTTGCAAGAAAACAGGCACCTCGGCCCCACGCCTGTAAGGATCAGAATTCGGCCGAGCAGCAGTCAGCCAGAGACCAGGTCTCATATGAGACCCAAAACCCAGGCAACATCTTGATTTCCATGTGTTGAGACCTTAAGCAGAGGACCCAGAGACCATGTACCAGATTCCCGACTCACAGAAATTACAACATAATAAATGTGTGTAGTTTCAAGCTACTATGTCTGTGTTGATTTGGTTTCCGAAAGAAGACTAATACCAGAGGTCAAAACAGGGGCTTCCAACACTGTGGTTTTGAAAATGACGGCTTCAATGTGTTACTTAAAATAAGATCATTTCTCTTTGGACATTTCTCATTCATTAATTCATTGAAAATATTTATTAAGTGTCTACTCCGTCCCAACGGCATTATGCTCGGTGCAGAGTGAGTATAGAGGGTGAGTGAAACAGGAAGGTGGGGAAGGCACTGGGAGCAGCAAGTCCAGACCTAGGCGTGAAGATCCTAAACATGTAGGCTGGAACCAAGAGAGTTAGTGGTAACCGGGTCACACGACACTGACAGTCTGTAGGTCTTGAAGTTCAACCCCAGGGCAGTCGTCTCAAACAATGGATTCTCAACTCTGTGCCTTAAAAATCAGCCAAGTGTTTTGGGTAAGACCCAAAACACCGTCCATATTTTATATCAATTAAGTCAAAACACCTGAGGGAGAGCCCAGGAATTGAGGTTGATTTCAACTGCGGCCAGGCCTGAGAACTATTGATATAATAAATCTGTCCAAATTTTCTGAAGAGGATTACTGTCCCAGAACCTGGGTTTGAACTCAGTCTGAAGGTGAGGTGTTAAGCAGTCCTCAAACTGGGAAAAGGGAAGAAGTAAGAGCAGGCAACAGACGTGGAGTACCAATGGAGACCAGGCTTTATGAAGTAGCACTATACGGTCCAAAATGACTGAAGTTAAGTGTTGAAGATCAAACAATAAATGAACCATGTGATTTCTGGCAATAAATTTAGTATCTTAACCATATCTGACTTAAACTAGTATTAAAATAAGTTGAGTGTATTGGAGTCCAATGCTAAGTAACTCAAGGAAAAAAGTTCCTCTATCAGCCTGTTTAGAAAAGTTAGGAAAATAAATTCTAGTTCAAATTTCTAATATGCATGTCCTGAGAAAATGGACATTATGAAGCAAGTGAGCTGCTCCCAAAAGGCCCTAATCATGGTAATGTGTAAGTCTAGAGTATGTTTCAGCGCTGCAGGAGGGAATATTTAAGTAACATTCAGTTACAAAAGGAACATGCATAGACACACGCATACACACACACACACTTATGTGTTATGACTAAAGATAGAAAGCTGTCCTGAAGGCTTTTGTATTTATTGGCCTATCCTGTGATTGTGAAAATTACAACAGAAGTATCTGTTTGTGACTTATATACCAACCAAATCATTCAACCACCTCCTACTGTTCCTCCCTAATCCAACACTGGCTTAATGGCTAAATTAAAGGTTGCCAGTGAAATGCTCTTTTGAGGATAATTCTGAATGAGTGCTTGAATAAGATTTCCTTTGACCTTGGACAACTTTGTTTATTAATATACAGTGGACATAGGACTTACATGACCTGTGACCCTTCCAAAGAAACCTTTCAGAGAATTCTTCTGTTGTCTTTGGATTCCATTAAAGGAGGAGATAAGTGTTATCTGCATTTGGAAAAACACCACTCCTGCTAGCTGTTGCTTGGAATCCTCCTTTCCTTTTTCCCTGCCTGGACCCATGTGGTCCACATAATCAACTCTGCTCAAGGCCAAAGGACTCCACTGATCAGGCGAACTATGGAAGGAGTATGGCACAGAAGAAACAAAGCAAGGCTCGTGATTATACGCATAGAACCAAAGTCAAGTACTTTCAGTATGAAAGCAGAACTGAGGAAGCTGGCTTTTAAAGAGTACTTTACAAAGGCTACTCAGTTTCCAAATAAAATAAAAGAATGATGGCTGCATGTGCAACTCAAGCACAGAAGGACATGGACAGGCAGAGAGGAAGAGAAACAGACACAGGAACTTACACTTGGGGTGTGCTGACAACTTGTCAGGAATTGACAAAATGTTTCACATGTAATAATTAATCTCTGTAAGGGTTCTGAGGTGAGTACTACCTAGTAAAAGAAATGGTACTCTGTGTACTATTATATGTCCCTGTGTACTATGACATTACTTCACTGTACACCCTTCAATGTGTCACTTCTGAAGAAAGTAGCCAATACTTCTCTTCTCCTGATAAAACAAATCAAACAAAACAACACTTTGGTGTCCAGGGGGCTCCAAAAATCTGAATTCTACCTCCTCATTCATTCAGCCCCTCCCATGTCAAAGACAGGGTGTTCCAAAAGTGGTATATAATCCCAAGTTGTTTGTTCTTTTTAAACTCAGGAATTCATATCCTAGCGAACTTTCAGCCACATTTTGCTGTGAGACCAGTCAGCCTTAGATTTTTCAAGTCTGTCCTCAAAGTCCACGTCTTGAAACTGATGTATGGAAAACCAATGGCCTTATGAGACACTGAACTACAAGTGCTTTCACATATGAAAAGGACAAAATTGATGTCTACGGAAAGCATGAACCCATCATACAGGATTTCTGATTTTCATTTTGATGTCAGAAGCCTGGGAGGAGGTGGAACTGGAGAGAGGAGATAAGAGCAAGAACAAAGTCTGGTTTTCACAGAAAAGAAGTGAGAAAGGATTCCTGTGTAAGTATGTGGGGTGGTTTGCAAGCTTCTAGGTACATTTCTTTTCCTAACACATGCCTAAGAACAGTCTGTATTTAAAGCTGCACTTTGCGCTCTCTTGGACATACCTTTCTCACGTCTGAACTCTTTGGTTCTGTCGTCCAAGTTATAATTCTAGAAACAGCAAGCCTCGTCTCACTAGAGTTTACAAAATCTGTTGGATCCATCTGCCGAGCGAGGGACTCAATGTACTTCAGGATTGCAACTTTGACCTGAAAGATCCAATAATTACAAACATTAAGCATACTTTATGAACCTTTGAATAGAATTCCGAACTGAATTTTGATCAAAGAAAATAAATACTCTTGAGGGGACACCTCCTTTCTCCTGGATTTATGTTCCCCCAGGGAGCAGTGTCCACCAGGGATGAAAGCATGAAATGATTGACAGGTAAGTTTGCGAAAAGGGCGAGTGCTGTACAGGTCAATCCTCTTCAGTTTTAGACTAAAGGCACGCTCTGCTCCTCCCCTATACGGCAAGACACCTGCAAGGCATGAGCCCCCACGGGCAGGCTGTGGGATTTCCAGCTCTGCCAATGACTGGGAAGTATTTAGCTTTGTGTTTTACACATCCTGGGCCATGTCTTACAAGGGAGCATTTTCAGCGATCAAGCTGATACTCTGCCCTAACTTCTCCACTGATGCTTCAATGGGTTTGTACCTTTGGAGAAGAGGGTTATCATTCACTGGGCCTATCCTAAAACCCCCACAAAAGTTAATGATTAAAGAACAGATGATTTACGTGATCTCATTCAAACCAAGACAAACCCTCCCTCAAATTCAGTCTCGTTACAGTGATGATTTCCCAAAATATGTAACAATTAATTTTCATGTGTTAGGATGTTAATATTGAAAACATTCTAGTAAGATACCTTATTTCAACACATCAGAGATTTCTAGTTTAAATACTGTGAAAAACAGTAGTAATACCCAAATGTTGGTAGGATGTGGAACAGCTGGTGCTCCGATTATACTGCTGGTAGGAATATAATATGGTACAACCATTTTCACAGTTTAAAATAAAGTTAAACATGTCCCTACCCAATAACCCAACAACTTTATTCCTAGGTACTCAACCAAGAGAAATGGAAACACATTCCCAAATAGTTGTACAAGGATGCTCATGACAGATTTATTTGTAACAGCCAAATAGGAGTCAAAAACAAAAAAGTACATTTTAAGCAAATTTGACTTCTAGAGGTTGAACTGTAATCACAAATAGTTACCAACCTTGAGGTTAGGAGTTTGAGTTTGATCCACAATAAATCTCATCAAAATGTTAAACTGTTGATCAAATGGAAAGGAGTCCCTAGGTTTAAGAGAAGAAAAAAAAGTGCTCAGTTTTAAAGAAAGATCTATTACAAAAAGTAATGCAAAACCGCATCAGAAATGAAAATATACCATTAGAGATGAGTCTAATTTATATAAAAGCAAGCTTGACCTTAGTTGACTAAGTTTACTAACTGTACTTTTCATTTTATAGAAATACTACAGTAATACACATTATATGGAAAATTCAGAAAAAGAAAACTCTTGCTGAAAGTCCCCAGACACACACTATGCTCACTTTGAGTTATGCTATTTTGAAAATTAAGGCCAAGCAATAAACTAAGGAAAAGATTCCTACCTGCCCTCTAAGGGATCTACTCGTCTTCTCTCTGGCCACCTTTCTGAATATTGCTTCGTGATAACCACCTCCAATCCCCAAATCTGGATCTGCATCCTGAGTGAGCACCTTACCGCTGGCCTTGCTAAGGCTCATCACACTGTCCTCCTTGGTCCCACTGGGCAACTGCTTATGGTCTCTGTTCTGTGGGGTCCCCACAGCGGAGTGCCTGTGGGAGACCCAGCAGGGGAACGAACTCCCCATCCAGCTACAATACGTATGCGGAAGCCAGGGCCTGCGGAAGCCCCTCTCGTGCTCCACTTCTGGCCTGTTCCTAAGCTCACTTCTGGTAGCCGCTTCGCATCTTCGACACAACTGAGAACCCTGAGGGCTCCTGGCTCGTGAAAGTCTGTGCTCTCTCCCTTCAAGTACTGCAATTATTAGTATTAGTTTAAAAGTGCAGAAATGGAAAAAAAAAAAAAAGTGCAGAAATGGTGTTTATGTGGGAAAATGCAGATACATCTTCCACACTAACAGGAAAGACTGTATAAAGCAAACTTCTATTACAATGGGGGCTGAGTGAATGCACTGCTTTCTTTGGACTCTCTGACTCATACTGCCTATAAATTAAGGATACAAGGCTGACAAAGCACACACAAAACGCCTCTCTTTTTTTCTGCAGCAAGGGGAGAATGGAGAATCCACTGAAGTATAAACTGGTGTGTTTCATCAGGAAATGCGCCCATGGTTAGGCACGGCCAAAGGAAAAGGAACTGGCAGATCCCAATCAAGCCTATTACCTCAGGAACCCCTCACAGCCAGCATGGAGACCCCTACCCCACCCACGCCACCCCCCCGCCCCCCCGCCCCGGTACTCACGGACTGATCCTAAATATGCTTAAACAGCTAGGCATCTCAGCTGCTGGGGAAATGGGAATGATGAAGGTGTTCTAGAGACTTAGACAGAATCTACCCAGAAGAGGATTCTTTTTTTTTTTTTTTTTAAGATTTTATTTATTTATTTGACAGACGGAGATCACAAGCAGGCAGAGAGAGAGGAGGAAGCAGGTTCCCTGCCCAGTAGGGAGCTGGATGCAGGGCTCGATCCCAGGACTCTGGGATCATGACCCGGGCAGAAGGCAGAGGCTTTAACCCACTGAGCCACCCAGGCGCCCCCCAGAAGAGGATTCTTAAAGGGAAGAGGCATCCAGGAAAATAATAAGAAAGTTTTCCTTAATCACCAAAGTTTAGGAGTAGAATCTTAACAGTCCTGCCATCCCTAAAACTCTGAATGGTTTTGCCATTCATAAATTCATCTACATTAAGGAAGTGACCTTTAGGCCAAGTCTGGCTCACAAATATTTTATATGGCTTTCAGAGTGTCATTAAAAAACAAAACAAAAAACCTCAAATGTGTTGCCTTAATGCACATTTTTTTTTTTAAAGATTTTATTTATTTGAGAAAGAGAGAGGGCATGAGAGGGGAGAAGGTCAGAGGGAGATGCAGACTACCCATGGAGCGGGGAGCCTGATGTGGGGACTTGATCCTGGAACTCCGGGACTATGACCTGACCTGAAGGCAGTCACTTAACCAACTGAGCCACCCAGGTGCCCCATTAATCCACATTTCTTTTTTTTTTTTTTTTTTTAAAGAATTTTTTTTAAAAGATTTTATTTATTTATTTGACAGACAGAGATCACAAGTAGGCAGAGAGGCAGGCAGAGAGAGAGGAAGGGAAGCAGGCTGCTTTCTCTCTGTGAAGGCACCCTGGCTTCACTGTTCCTGGACCTTCATTTTCAGTGCCTAGCTCCAAATTATCTAAAATAAATTCTGAATGAAACTGAGTTTATGTGTGCTACAGTGTCACAACTTCCAACACAAGGCCACAGGACCAGAGCAGGGGAATGTCTAGGGATGTCCGTGATGACCCCACATGGTCTCTGTTCTCAGTGGTGCTGGCTGCAGGGGATTCAGCATCGGAACAGTGAACGCCTCATGAAAAAAATACCAGAGTAGGCATTTTTTGGAGGGAAAAACCAGTTCCATTTGGACAGAGGATAGAAGTCTTTGTAATGGCATCAAGGATTTCCATTTGGCTTTGAGAATTTTACTGAAAATGGATTTAACCAGATTCCAAGTCTAGAGCTCCTTTTACTGGAGCAATCACACCCTTAAGAGAATATTTTCAGAAGGGTAGTTTCTCTGATAATTTCTCACTGGAGAAAAGGAAACAGACTTTAAAACTGGGTTTTAAAGTCTGTTTTTCTGCAATTTGCCAGCCGCTAAATTACTTTATCCTTAAACAAGGATTATTTCAACAGATGAGCAAGGAAGTACTTATATTCATAAAATTTAAAAAAAAAAAAAAGATTCTGATACTTGGCTTCTCTGGACTTTTCTTTGCTCTTACTCCTAAATTAAACCGAGAAGGCAAAACTGGGATGACAGAGTCGCCCTTTACCAGACGGACGGAGAACGCTTCAGAACTGAGCAGCCTCGGCAGAGGCTGCCGGGGAGAAACTGAGATGGCGCTAAATCCAAAGATCCAAACCACCAAGCACCAGGGTCAAGGCGGAGACTGTTAACATGGTGTCTCCCCAAGAGCTGAGGAGCGGAACACACACACACACACACACACACACACCCCTTCTCTTGTACCTTCCACGCTTCATGAAATGCCACGTTAGGCACCCATGATGGCTGCTACAGATTTACTCTGATTTTTGAGTTTGGATTGAAACAGAAGAAAGATTTCAACTGGAAGCTCCGGGTGGGGATAGTGAGAGTGGAGTGTTCGGAGGGGCGGGGAGCCCGTCCTGGAAGGAGCCTGCGGAGGGGGCCCTGGGCCTCCAGTCTAGATCGTGTACAAGCAAAATCCCACGTGGTTGTTACAAGACTGTCTTCAGGCTTTTCTCTTTTTCTTGCCAAGACTGGACTCACATTCTTAGTAGGTCTCACAGTACAACTCAAAGACGTATGACCCTGTCCTGGCGTCACAGGCCGTATCCAGAAGGAAGTAAGCGAGGATGAGAGAGAAGCACAAATTAACATACCCTCCTCCAATGTTATTAACTAAGAGAAAATGCTACTTTCTACCAAGTATTGGCTAGAGAGCTCTGATATTTTTGAAACTGCGCGGTTTTGTGATCTCAGCCGACTGTACAAGACGTGTTCACGTATGGCTCTTTTCTTATTCCATTTGCTTTGTATGAAGATTGTAATACAGGCCTTGCTTCCTTTACATTCAATACCAGTAAGATTCTACACAAAAGCTGAAAGGGACCAAAATACTGATTGTAATAAATATTTGCGGGCCTCCTTGTACTGACTGGGCAGCCGATGAGGGGGAGGGTCGGGGAGGGTCTCTGAGAGGCGCCACCGATTGCTTCTAGGGCTACACGAAGAGACTGTGGTGCTGTATTAGCTGTGTGTGGATACGTCGGAGGAGGAGCTGCTGTTGCTGTTCGTGGTTTGGGCCCTCTTTATATATAAGTTTAGTAGCTTCATCTGCAAAGAGAAGACACAAACGCATTAGCGGGAGGAAAGCAATCAGAGAGCAGACAACGAAAAAACCCAGGTGACGATAAGAAAGCAGCATGTTATGGGCACCTGCGTGGTTCAGCTGGTTGTCTGCCTTTGGCCTGGATCATAGATCCCAGGTCCTGGATCCCCTGCTTGGGGGGTGGGGAGGTGGTACTCTGCTTCTCTCTCTGCCCCTTTCCCCGCTCATGCTCGTGCTCTCTCTCATAAATAAATAAATATCTTAAAAAAAAAAAAAGACAAAAACAGTGTGTTCCATTTACTTAGGGCCTGTGACTCCTGCAGCGCACGTCAGCCGGGGGTGAGGGCCCAGACGTGGAGGTCAGGATCTAGAGAAGAACGAGTGGCAATGGGTTCTCAGGAACAGAATGAAAGGTGCTAACCAGGTGGGCCACAAGGGCTCCAGGGAGACAGGTATGTGAAGGGCAAAGGCACACGTTCCGGGGTGACTGCGGCCAAGGGCCGCACGCAGCTGTCAGGGAAAGCAGGGCACAGGCCCGTGCTCCTTGGGGACAGGGTAGGCTAAACAAGGCTACGGGTCAAGTCTTCTGACCTTCGCACCTTTGCCGAAGCTGCTCCTTTTGCACGCACACCTCCTCTCTCCACCCCCATCTCGGCTTCCTCAAGTCCACTGTGGTGCTGTGACATCTGAGACCAACCCCAAAGGCTGCATCCACCAAGCCTACCCTCATCCACTCACTGGGATGCCCCCAACCCTTTTTTCCAAGTCCTGTGGCGTGGGCACTGCACTCTGCCTCAGCCCATGCCGCCCCGAGCTGCAGTCAGCGAAGCCCTCACTTGCCACTTCCAGCAAGACGAGACCTCCCTGACGCCAATGCTGTGTCATTAAACCACAGCACCTCGGCTGTGCACGGGGCTTCCCAACGCAAGGGGCTTCCATAACCAGATCTCATCTGCTCTTAACACAGGCCCACTAGGACCCTACAAATATGTAGAACAGTGTAAAACATGGTAGGTTCTTAAATGCTTCTTGAAGGCTACTAAGTTAGTATGTTATATGGACCATCTCTGTGATCATATGAAGAACAAAAAGAAACAAGTATCTGTGGAAATGGAATGCCCAGAAAAAATGCACGTAACACACAACTTGTAAGACTGAGGGAATTATGGGATATTTCCTATCCACAGCTCTTTACCTGTCTTGCTCTAAACAGGCCACGATGCTGGTCTTCAGGGGACCCAGGAGGAGAGGCTCAGTGTGGACTGCACAAGAAAGTGGGCCCCCAGTGACAACCAGGCACCAGGACAGCAACTGTGCGGAGCTCCTAGGGGAGAATAAGTCTCCCAACATATCACTCAAAGGGAGTCAGCAGTGCATCTGAGGCCCCCTGCTTTTACTCCACAGTCCAGCCCTGGGCTTTCCACACACCAGCACCTGCAGGACTGCCTTAGCCTTTGTAACTGAGCCAAGTACGGCACAGTTTGCTTTTCCTTCCGCACCCCTTAAAATCTTAAACATTTTGTTTTATTGAAAGATTTTATTTGGGAGAGAGAGAGAATGTGCACGAGTTGTGGGGGCGGGGGAGAGAATCTCAAGCAGACTCCCTGCTGAGTGCAGAGCTGACTAGGGGCTCGATCCTGAGAACCTGAGATCGTGACCCAAGCGGAAACCAACAGCCAGACACCCAACCGACTGAGCCATCCAGGCGCCCCATGAGGGCAGTACCATCGTTTTACACAGGGATTCTAATGTTCTAAGTGATACAGTCATGGCCGACCAGGTTCAAGGGAAACCCTAGTCATCAAACAAAGCGGCAGCCTGAGGCTCAACAGATCCAGCAGAGTTCTAGAACCAACTCCACCATTAACTAGTTGTGTGACTTCAGGCAAAACATTTTCTGAACATCAACTTCCCCTCCTGCAAAATGAGGAAGGAGCTCATAAAGATCCTTCGAGGGGGGCAGCAAAGGGGTTCAAATGAAAAGGCTGGGGTTCACTTGCTCCATGAGCTGCTACAAGTTCAAACTGTAGACTGCTATAACCTGAGGGTGTCAGATGTGATCCCCACAGCAACTGCTAAGAAAAAAGCTGCAGAATATACACAGACAGAAACGAGAACAGAAACGTTCCAGTACACAAAGCAAACACAAAAGAAGATAGTAATGCAGAAAAGCAAAGGACAAAAACAGCTCTATAGCATATAGAAAACATATGCCCAGATGACAGAAGTCTCTCCTCCCCAGGAGTTGCTTCCAGTGGAGATGGTGAGACTCTTCCGTGAAAAGAGAGACTGGCAGGATGGGTGAGAAAAACATGGTCCCACTCTATGCTGTCTATAAGAGACTCACTTTAGGGAAGATACAATGAGGCTGAACGTGAAAGGCTGGAAAAAGCCAGCCCACGTGAACCATAATTGAGCATGCAGGGATGGCTGTGCTAATCATATTGGGCAAAATAGACTTTAAATCAAAAAAGTTTACAAGGGACCAAGAAAGTCCTTATATTCATAAAAGGTCAATACACCAAGAAGATACACCAAATACAGACATTTCAGTGTATAGTAACATGCCAGCAGAATGTCAGAAGAAAACACTGACAGAACTGAAGGGAGAAAGAGTTTTACAGTAACAGTGGGAAACTTCAGGATTCCATTCTTAATAATGGGGAGAGCAACCAGAAGGAAGACAAGGAAACCAAAGACCTGCACACTATGACGAACCAAGTGGATCTAACAGACACATCTAGAATATGCTACGCAACAACAGAATACACATCCTTCTCAAGTGCACACGGTCCGTGCTCCAGAATGGGTTGTGTGTCAGGCCACAAATTAGGTCTCAATAGATTTACAAAGACAGATCCCATAGAGAGTGTCTTCTCAGACCACAACTGGATGAAGTGAAAAGTCAGTCAATGGAAAGAAAACAGAAAAATTCACGAATTTGGGGAAACCAAACAACATACTGGTAAACAGCCAATGGGTCAACAAAGAAATCACACGGAAAATTAGAAGAGATCTTGAGACAAATGAAAATGAAAACACAACATACCCAAACTTAAAGGATGCAGCACATGCAGCGCAAAGAAGGAAAGGTATAGCTGCAAATGCTTAGATTAAAACAGAAGGAAGGGGGATGCCTGGGTGGCTCAGTTGGTTAAGCGGCTGCCTTCGGCTTGGGTCATGATCCCAGTGTCCTGGGATCAAGTCCCACATCGGGCTCCTTGCTCGGTGGGGAGCCTGCTTCTCTCTCTGCCTCTGCCTACCACTCTGCTTGTCCTCACTCTCTCTCCCTCTGACAAATAAATAAATAAAATCTTTAAAAAAACAAAACAAAAACAGAAGGAAGACCCCAAGGCAATGACCTAACTTTACATCTTAAGGAAGTAGAAAGAGAAGAATAAATTAAGCCGAGAAAGAAGGAAATAATAAAGATTAGGACAGAGATAAAGAAAATAGAAAAACTGAGAAAAATCAATGAAACCAAAAGTTAGTTTTTAGAAAAGATAAACAAAATTAACACATCTTTACTTTAGCTCAGTTACCTAAAAAAAAAGGAGACTCAAATTACTAACATCACAAACGAAATGTGGGACATTACAACTAACTCTATAGAAATAAAAAAGATCAGGGCGCCTGGGTGGCTCAGTCAGTTAGGTGTCTGCCTTCGGCTCAGGTCATGCTCTCAGAGTCCTGGGATTGAGTCCTGCATTGGGCTCCTTGCTCAGCAGGAGTCTGCTTCTCCCTCTGCCTCTCCCTCCACTTGTTCTCTCTTTTTCTTTCTCTCAAATAAATACATAAAATCTTTTTTAAAAAAAGATTTTATTTACTTATTTGACAGAGAGAGAGAGAGATCACAAGTAGATAGGCAGAGACAGAGGGAGAAGCAGGCTCCCCGCTGAGCAGAGAGCCCGATTCGGGGCTCAATCCCAGGACCCTGGTATCATGACCTGAGCCGAAGGCAGAGGCTTAACCCACTGAGTCACCCAGGTGCCCTAAATACGTAAAATCTTAAAAAAAGAAAGAAGAAGATTGTAAAAGAATGCTACAAAATAAACGTAGACCAACAAATCAGACAACCCAGATGAGATGGACACATTCCTCAAAACATCAAGCCTACCAAGACTGAATCATGAAGAAAGAGAAAATGCAAACAGATCTGTAATTAGTGAGGAGATCAAATCAGGAATAAAAAATCTCCTAGGTGGCATCGGCCCTGCGGCAGACATGGAGATGCACCTCTCTGTAAAGATCCTGACGGTAAGGCTGTCATTCTTGAGGTCGAGCCTAGTGACACCCCTGAGAACGTTAAAACTAAAATCCACAAGGAGGACATCTTGCCCGACCAGCAGCATCTGATTTTTGTGAGCAAACAGCTGGAGGGCAGCTGCACTGTCTCAGACTGCACTATCCAGAAAGAGGCCATCCTGTACTTGGAGATTCACCTGTAGGGTGGCATCATCAAGCCCTTCCTCCGCCGCTGGCCCAGAAATCCAACTGCGACAAGATGATCTGCTCCTAGGGTTCTGCTCGCCTGCACCCCCGCAGTCCCCTGCCGCAGCAAGTGTGCCACATCAGCAACCTGTGCCCTGAGAAGATCAAATACTGCCCCTCCACCGGCTCTTTTTTTGCCTGCAGAGCCACTCCTTGCCAGAATCTCAAGGCCCTGAGGCTTCCATAAAGTCTCACTTTCATTGACTGGGGCAGTAAAACAAAAACAAAAACATAACAACAAAAAACTTCTTACAAAGAAAAGCCCTAGACCAGATTGCTTCACTTGTAAATTCTACCAAACATTTAGCAAACTAACTCCAACCCTTTTCAAATTCTTCCGTGAAATCGAAGATTAAGGAGCCCTTTCAAACTCATGCTATCAGGTCAGCATTGTCCTGATGCCAAAGCCAGATGAAGATAAGAACAGAAAACTATGAGTCAGTACCTCTTACAAACACTGATGTAAAAGTCCTCGAGAAGAATCTAGCAAACTGAATTCAACAGCATATTAAAAAGAGTATACACCATGGTCAAGTGGGATTTGTTCCTGAAATTCATTGATAGCTAAACATATGAAAATCTAATCAATATAATTAACAGAATGAAGGGGAAAAAACACATAATCATTTCAATTGATGATAACTAAATTCAACATCCTTTGATAATAAAATTACTCAACAAACTAGGAACAGAAGGAAACTAACATATCAAAAGTTACATATGGGGAGCCCACGGTGAACATCATGTTCAATGGTAAAAGACTAAAAGTGTTTCTTTGAAGATCAGGAACAAAGCAAGGTGCTGATACTCCCCACTTCTATTCAATTTGGTACTAGAAGTTCCAGCCAGAGAAATAAGACAAGAAAAAATAAAAGGTCTCCACCCTGGAAAGAAGTAAAATAGTTTCTATTCATAGATGATGAAGATCTTATATGTAGAAAACCCTAATGATTCTCCCTAAAAACCCTGCAAAGACTAATACATTTAGCAAAGTCATAAGATATAAAATCACCAGTTAATGAAGAAAGGGTTGTCTTTCCAACAAATGGTGCCACGGAAACTGGATATCCACATGCAAAGGAATGAAACTGAAGCGTTACCTAATATCACATAAAAATTAATTCAAAATGGACCAGAGAACCTGCATGTGTGAGTTAAATTATAAAACTCTTAGAAGAAAACACAGGGCAAAAGCTTCACATTAAAAAAATTTATGCATTGAAAGATAAGGATTAATATCTAAAATATACAGAGAACTGCTAAAGCCTAAGAATTAAAAAAAAAAAAAAAATTCAAAATGGACAAAGGACTTGAGTAGATATTTCTCCAAAGATACACCAAGCAGCCAACACAGGACCACCAGCCACTGGGATGGCCACCATCAAAAAAGAGAAAAGAACAAATGCTGGTTAGTATGTGGAGAAACTACAGCCTGTCGGTGCTATTCCTGGGACCGTGAAAGGGCACAACCACCGTGGAAAAGTTATTCTAGGATTTAGCGATTCTAGTCCTGCAGGATAACCCAAAAGAACTGAAAGTCAGGTTGCAAAGACTGATTTTTATACATACATTCATAGCAGCATGACTCCCAACAGCCACAAGTGGAAAGAACAAGTGTCCATTACCAAAAAATGGATAAGCAGGCTGTTGTATGTACATATAATTGAATATTATTCAGCCTCAAAAGGGAAGGACGTTCTGGCAAATACTACCACAAAGGATGAACCTCAAGGACGTTATTCTAAGTGAAATATGCCAGTCACAGAAAGACAAATGATTCCACTTCCATGAAGCACCTGAGCAGTCAAATTCAGAGAGACTAAATAGAACAGTGGTGGCCAGGGGCTGCGAGGAGGTAATAATGAGGAATTACTATTAATGTGTACAGAGTTTTGGTTTTACAAGATGAAAAAAGTTCTGGAGGTGATGGTCACATAGCACTGTGAATGTACTTATTACCAGTAAACTATAAAAAATGGTAAAGATAGCAAATTGTATGTTTTTTTGTTTTTTTTTTTTTAAGATTTTATTTATTTGACAGAGAGAGAGAGAGATCACAAGTAGGCGGAGAGGCAGGCAGAGAGAGAGAGAGAGAGAGGAGGAAGCAGGCTCCCTGCTGAGCAGAGAGCCCGATACGGGGCTTGATCCCAGGACTCTGGGATCATGACCTGAGCTGAAGGCAGAGGCTTTAACCCACTGAGCCACCCAGGTGCCCCAGCAAATTGTATGTTATGTATATTCTGCCATAATTTAAAAAAAAAAACAGAAAGAGAAAAGAAAGTTTATTCAAGGTCATAGAGCTAGCTAGGAAGTGGGGGGCAGAGACCACAGGCAGGTTGTCTGACCTCAAAGATGCTGTTGCTGCCACAGCGACAGGACACTCTCAAAATGCCCCATATGCATGCCTTCTGCGTCCTTGCCTCGGGCCCTTCTCTACAGAGAAACAGGAATTCTTTTGTTTCCAGTCAAACAGACTTAGCACCATGTCTGTCAGCTACTGATTTTCGGTGGTGGAGACATATACATGAGTCTACAAAAAGAGTTATTCCATCGAGCGACCATAATAGGATGAACTGGGCCACCAAAGTGGAGCAGCGCGAGGGTTGGCCTCCCTAAGCCCTCTGAGCAGACTCAAGCTGTAACCAGCTCTGGCCCGAGGCCACCACGGAAAGGAGCAGCAGCAGGCCGGCTGCCGGACAGGGATGAGAAAACACCTGCATCTTCTCAATCCATATATATTGGAGAGGTCAAATGAGATGATGGGACAGTTGCCTTACTGAGGAAAATGAAAATTGCTGGACAAAATCTGGGTCTAGTATAACTTGGGGATGATTTTTAAAAGTTGAATTTCCTTTGTGAAAGTTGTCTTCTAGTTCTCACTGCTGGTGACCTTTGTCTCAGTACTCCTCAGATCGTGGCTAGGGTAGGAATCAGTGAAGAGCCTTTTTGTAGGAGAAAAGGAGAGGAGGAAGTGGAAAATGGAATCAGGCAAAGAACCCCTGAAATCACTTATCCACAGCTGCCTCACTCACACCCTCCGACCCCGCTGCTTATTTCTGTCTGCGAGAAGAGTCAAGAGTCTCCCCTGGGATCGGTGGTGCTCGAGCAGGGGAGATTCTGCCCTCCACGGGTGATGTGGCCATGTGCAGACTCCATGGGGATTACCAGTCCGATTACCGATGGTGGGGGTGCTACCAGAAGATAGAGAAGGCAGCGGGAGTGCCGCTGATCTTCCTATAATGCCCAGGAGAAGTCCTGACAACAAGGTGGCCCCAAGTGTCAGTGGTGCTGAGGGGCAAATCCTGCTTGGGCAGAGGCAGGCAAGCTGGCCTTGCCACAACTCCGGGGAAGCAAGGCCCTGGCTGTGAGGCTCACCAGCTGTGTCGGGAACAGCTCCATGTGGAAAGACACGGGGCCTTACTTTTGATTCTATCCTTCACAAGGAGTGCGTCAGGCACCTTTAGCTTCATGGTTTTTTATCCAGAACACCGCCAGGGTGTTCTAACTCCATGTTGATGTACTTCCCCCATGGGCAGTCCCTGGAGTAGCCTTGCCACCAGGCCAGAGGCCTGCAAGGCCCAGGAGTTCAAGCTGCCGCTCCCGCCAGAGCTTGGGGCATCCACCTGCTCTCAACTGGCAGGCTCTTCAGATTTTGAAACCAATAAGCACTTTAGCCATCCTTGGCTGCAATGAGCTAATCAGCCTTTTGTTCCACATTTGGCCTCTGATTCTAGAAAACTCTGAAAGGAACGTGAGAGGCAGCAGAGTGAGAAAAAGCTGAGCTGTGTGTGTCCTTGGGCAGTTAAATGTGGGATAACTGTCCCTGTCCCACAGGGATGTCGGCCATGAGCGAACACATCAACACGTGCCAGGTGCAGACAACAGCGTCCAGGACCTGCCTTGGCAAGCACCTGGCGAGCGCCTGCTATTGTGACTGCTGACGGCCACGGGGAACCCTGGCTGTGTGGAGGCCAGAGCTGCAGCCAAGCAGATCCACGATGGCTGGCAGAGCCCAGGTGTGCGACCGGCTCACGTAACACTTTACATACCTTGCTCCCCGTGAGCTGCGCGAGGTGAGGTTTCAGCTCTTCTCCAATTACGGAATAAATTGCCACTAAGCAAAACACGCTGGCCTTACGTACACTGCTTTCGGTGTTGTCATAGCCCTACAAAGTCAGAGGGGACACAAAAAGGAAATGAGATCAAAGAACTGCTTCACAGTCAACGTCTCACCCACATTTCCACAAATGCCCTCATAGTTCATCCGTGAACTTGCTGCCAACGACCACAGCACACCTGAGATCTGCCGCTGAACCCAGAGAGGTCACAGCTTCACAGTGTGGAAAATGAGCTGGATCCCAGGGTCGGAAGCGGGAGACTGGCCGGCAGCCTATGCACAGGGGGCTGCTTCACCAGAGCTGTCGTGGCAGTGCCCCCCGACATACACGTGTGCCAGAGAGACTGGGACAGGAATTCGGGGGGAAGAAATAGCTCACTTCTTTCACATTTCTCCCAATGGTAAAGCAAATATATCTGTTTTTAATTTTATTTTACTTGAAAAAAAGTGCACGTGCAAGCATGAATAGGTGGTTGCGGGGAGCAGAGGGAGAGGGAGAAGCAGGCTGCCCGCTGAGCCCTGATCAAAGGACTCAAACCCCGGACCCTGGGATCATGACCCGAGCTGAAGGCAGACGCTTAACTGACTGAGTCACCTGGGCGCCCCCCGGGGAAAGCATGCCTTGTGTAAAAATGTCTTAAGAAACGAGAACTGCGGGGCACCTGGGTGGCTCAGTGGGTTAAAGCCTCTGCCTTTGCCTCAGGTCATGATCTCAGGGTCCTGGAATCGAGCCCCGCATCGGGCTCTCTGCTCAGCAGGGAGTCTGCTTCTCCCTCTCTCTCTGCCTGCCTCTCTGCCTACTTGCGATCTCTGTCTGTCGAATAAATAAAAAATAAATAAACTAATAAAAAAAAAACCCCGAGAACTGCATCCCGCACTCTTGTGGGCAGAACCTCTGTGGGGGCATCCAGGCCCACGGCCTGACACATGCATCCTCTACAAATGGGCCTTGACCTACCCATTGGCCTGGCCCTTGCCCCACTCAAATGGGACTACTCACTGCTGTCCCAGCAGCCCTGAGGATTTTTCAGTCTGCATTTAACGTCCCAAGCCGAGTGCTTGGCAAGCAGCAGTATTTATTAAACCATGAAGCTCCTTTCTTTCTACCCTCCCTGCTGAAATCACTCTCTCCCTTCCAGGGTGCGACTGTAAACTGACTCTTCCATGAGCCCTCCTCTCTCCGCTGCCCCAGCCCTGAAATCCGCCCTCAGCCTCTGATCTCAGCAAGCTCCACTTGTACCTACAATAATGGCGTGTGGTGCCCACATCTGGAGCCGCCCACACAGTTGTATGGGGCCCCACATTATGCCTCATGCTTAGAAGGCTTCCAGTAAGTGATTGCTGGGGAGCAGAGCAAGGACCTGGAGCTGATCCCTGGCCCACCTTGCCCAGGGCTGGGGCCCACAGATGTGCCATAAGGCTTTGTTGAAGGAATGAACAACAACAAAAATGACCAAAATATATTTATAGTAAACAGAAAGCTCATTCCTGGAGCCACAGTTCTAATCTTCCAGGAAGATCTTCCTGCTACATTAGAAAACAGAAGGCATAGGGTGTCCAAGCCATACAGCTGCACAGGTTCCTAAAAGCACAGGTCGGCGCCTGCCTTTTCCTCCCCAACCCTTGAGTGAATGGGGAGAGCAAAGCCCCCATGTCCCCAGGTGGGGCAGCGCCTGCTCCCAGCCTCATAGCCCTGGGAAGACAGGTGCTGGCCAGCTGCCGGGAGGGCCCACCTGTAGCAAGCCTGGGATGATGTCAGCGAGGAGCTGCAGCAAGGACTCCTTGGCGATCCTCTCGACGACTTTGGTCTGCATCTTGATGGCGGCGAGGTTGATAGGGTAGTCGGCTGTTTGGATGATGGGACAGAGAACTTTGATGCACTGCTCTGGGTGGATGGAGCTGGCCAGTGTGGACGCCGCCTCCTCAGCCGCTCTCACTACCTGCAACACCAGGTCCCCACACGAGTGAGCTCCTGAAGACCAAGTCACGCCGCTGGCTAACTTTGGAAGCCAGACACAGACTTCACCTGATGCCTCTGGCTAATTTTGTACAAAGAAGTAAAAGTAGAGTGGCTTGGAGGGTGATTTTACAGGGGATGGGGACATGGGAAGGTAGGCATGTGGATCCCGCCAGAAGCCCTGGAGAATTAGTTATCCAAGTGTTGCCTCTTCCCTATAGCAGCAGCATTCCTGAGAACATGCTAGAAATCCAGCTTCCCTGGCCCTAACCCAGACTGGCTGAATCAGAGACTGGGGGAGGGGGTAGGTGGGGAACGGAGCCTAGCAAGCTGTTTTGGGTTTTTTGCTGTTGTTTTGTTTCGTTTTAAGGTTTTGTTTTAATTTGATAGGGCAACTGGTGGCTCAGTCAGTTTAGTATCCTACTCTTGGTTTTGGTTCAGGTCATGATCCCAGAGTCCTGGGAAGGAGCCCCATGTCTGGCTCCCTGCTCAGCAGGGAGTCTGCTTCTCCCTCTGACCCTACCACCTCTTATGCTCTCTCTCTGCCAAATAAATTGGTTAAAGAAAAATCTTTTTTTTTTAATTTTTGAAGATATTTTTAATTTATTTGACAGAGAGAGAGAGAGAGAGAGAGAGATCACAAGTAGGCAGAGAGAGAGGGGGAAACAGGCTCCCTGCTGAGTGGAGAGCCCGATGTGGGGCTTAAAGAAAAATATTTAAAAATTTATTTGAGACAGAGAGCAAGCACATGTGCCAGTGGGCGAGGAGGGGCAGAGGGAGAGAGAGAATTTCAAAGCAAACTCCCCGCTGAGTGTGAAGCCTGATGCAGGGCTCAATCTCACCACCCTGAGATCATGACCTGAGCCGAAACCAAGAGTTGGATGCTTCAACTGACCGAGCCACCCAGGCGCGCCCCCAGCAAGCTGTTTTAATGAGCACTTGGGAAAGTCTCCCATACAGGAAAATTTGAGAGTCTCTGCCCTAGAAGATTAGGACCTAAAAATAAATATAAATGCTTTCCAACAGCCTGTGGGACATCTGCAATCAAAACAACTAGAGAGAAGCCTAGAAGAAAAATGGCTTCAATAATTAGGATTCCATGGAAATGCCTAGCTGTAAAGCAGTTGGAAAGGCTCGGAAAGAACTCTCTGGGTTTCCCTGGGAGGAGATTCTTAGGGAAAGCTGCTTTTCCAACAATCTGTGCTGGTATCCCCTTGCCCTGCACTCTGAAGGAAGCGCGTGAAATGGCCACCTCAGGGCCAAAGAAGCAGCCTCTGACCTCTGAAGAGGTCATGATGTGTGAGGACACATGGTACTTGTACTAGAGGCCACCAGAAGGGCCACAAAAACCCTCTGTAATAAAGGTAGAAGTTAAACGCAAAACCCAGCAAGGAACAAAGAATGTGGGCTCTGGACGTAGGTGGCAAACCCCAGCCACACCATTCACAAGTGTTAAGCCCCCATCTCCTCATCTGTAAGATAGGGAGACCTCACAAATATCAGTTGGTAAGTGGTATCAAAATGTACTATACAGTAAATGGAAGTCACTCCTACTAATAGCACAAGGCTGCATATATAAACAATCAACAAAACACCAGGCTGTAAACATGTATGCATTTTCTTATGAAATGTAATGGAAATCTACTACTTTTCTCCTACTACCCACCCTGGGCTGGGCATTCCACCCAGATTCTTCTCTGCTTTGTGTTCTGCTATTTGAAACAAGTCAGCTCTGTCTTTATTCAGCAACAGTACCAAGGTTATCAGCTCAAGCCTTCAATCACCCCAGTGCTCTCGTGACTGAAGCAAACACTGACCAACAAAAACAGGAGACAGACCATCTAGAAGGCATCTTCTAGACCTGGGCAAGAGTGGGCTAAGACATCAGGGCTTACAAGCCAGGAGGATAGGACACATGGACCACATGAGGTCACTGCAGGGCCCTGACTGAGACACTTCCCCGCAGAGCCCCAGCTCCTCTCTCTAGGAGGGGCAGGGTCAGATCTCAGGGCACTGCGGTCATGGCTTCGCAACAAGACACAGCCCAGCTTTGTGTTCAGCCAGGGTTACCCGACCACGTGAACAAGGCTCACTTCCTGGAGTGTGCCTCAGCAGTCCGCGTGTCTGCTCTGCTCACGCCCGTCACCTGGCCGGCATGCTTGTGAACACAATGCATACACTGTGGCGGCACAGACTGGGATTGTGCATTCATCCTTTCAGGAGCCAAACTGGGGACCCTAATCAGCATGCTTCAAGGATGAAATCTGTGTACATGTGAGAAGACAGGTATCAAGAACACCCACGATTTATCTGTGTTTATTATTATTTACATGAAAGGTCAGGCTTGGGTGCAAAGCACTGGAGAGAGGTCATTTTACTTTGAAAGAATCTTATTCTCAATAAGACCATAAGAGCAATGTTTCTTTCATACCACCATTCCCCGTGCCTTCTGTTTTGTGCTGTCTGTGCGCCTTCGTTTACTCCTGTGTGTCAGGGCCAGAGCTCAGAGCTCAGGCTGCAGGTGTGAGAACAACAGCTGGGCCCTGGGTCTGGCCCTCACAGTGCTGGCTTGGGGTGGGGGGGTGGTCTGTGCAGGAGCAGCACGAGGAGGCAAAGCGGTGGGGACCAGGCCACAGAAGCAGGTAGGGGCCGGGTGGCGGGGGTCTGTTGCCTGCGGAGCATCCTGCAGTTGGCCAGGATGAGACGACAGGAAGCTGGTGAGGGAGGGGACACAGAGTGAACTTCTGTGGAACACATCCCAGGTGCTCTGTGGGGATGCCACCAGTTCAAGGGCCCTTGGTCATGCCAAGCCAGCACTGTCCCCTCCCCCCACCCCGGCCTCCTCTACCGTTTGCAAGGGCTTTGGGTGAGTCAGGCAGCGAGCTCAGCCTTCCCGGACACCTCAGTACAAGCGGGCAGACTGCCCTGTCAGCAAGCATGAACTCAGTCACACTGATGACATCGCCCTCCACTTCACAGACACACGAGACAACTTAAAGAAAGCCCACCATGATTTTCTTCTTGCCAACTCAATCTCCTGCCAAGGCGGTGTTCTCCACCCAGGTCCCCTGAAAGCACACTGCTGTGTGGCCCTGGGCATGTGTGACCTTTAACCTCTTACCTCAAGAAGGGCAGCTCTAGAGTTGCGGGGGCACATTCTCAACCTCTGAGAGCAGCGTGGCAGGCACATCTACGTTCATTCCTCTAGCAAGACACTTAATTGGTCTGATAATCGGGCCTCAATTTTTAAAAAAAATTCTAAAATGGGGATTTAAAAGGTATCAACTGTGACAGATATTGGAGTGAGATAACCTACAAATGCCTGCAGCTAAGAGGACACTGTGAGGGAGCTCTGGGGCCACCAGAGAGCAGAGCTCTGGCCAGAGGACCCCCTCTGACGCAGCCTGGCACCCACATCAAGTGGGTATGCCCTTGCCAAGAATCTATGAAAAGTTAACCCGGAACCAGGCCCACATTCGTCGAGACATCATGGAAGGCCAACAAGGCTAGGCTCCTGCCTGACTGTCTAGTGGTGTTTATGGCCCCTATCCCCCTCTGCCCTAGTGACACCGAGCTGATGGCACGCCCTGCATGTGCCCCTCCGGCCACTTCTCAGAGACCTGGACTAACTCCTCCGTCCTTCCTCACTGTCGCTCCCTTGTGCTCTTCACCTGGCTGGGCCTGGTCATTCTTCAGGGCTCACTCGCTGTAGTACAGCTTCTGGGAAGCCTTGTGTGCACACTTTCATCACTGCACTCAAATACCTTGCTGAAGTGCTCTCTCCCACGAGTCTAAAAGTCCCTTGAAGGTAAGCTCCCCGCTCTGCCATCTTTCTGTCGGACCCAGAATAATGCCCAACATACACAAGGGGACGAGGTGCTCAGTGAGTCTGTCAAATTCCCCCATAGTGTATGTATTTTTAAAAATGTTCATGACTGGCAAAGTCACCTCTGGGGCATGCCTCACTGATTTGCATTTACATGTTCTAATCGAGGAGTTAGCCCAGAAAATGAGGAGGAAGCAAGTTATCTATAAATGACCAACTTGAGCCTTGGGCAAAATCAACCATAGGAGGCCCAGAGGGTCCCGTTCCAGGTGACATGCCTGAAAGGCAACAGCTCTGTCCTTTTGCAAAAGAGACTTTAGTTCAGGTTAGTTTTTTCTAGTAATCAGCTATTTGAAGAGAGGCAGTGTACTTCTTAGAAGACCTCCATCATGTGATGAATTACCCTAAGGTCAAGTGCCTTTCTTCCTTCTCGGTTCCTGTATGTTCCAGGGGTTGCTCTAAGTCCACAGTACACTTGGGAAAGCCCAACAGTGGGCACTTACCACTAAGCAGACGGTGGAAAGTGGAAGAGGAGGGTCTATCTCTCTTCTAAGGTGGTCCCACAGGGAGAAGGTGCTCTGAGCCATGCCTTTCTGTGGTATGAAATCATGGTTTGCAAGTATCCTAACATACTCTCAGAAAGCTTGGTACTGACAGAAGAAACCATGTATCTTAGTTTTTAAATATAAGGGAAAAAATAGCAGGGTCAGAAAATAACTTCATAGATATAGCCAAGGTAGAAAACACTAAATAACTTCATAGATATAGCCAAGGTAGAAAACACTAATGGACAGGAATCCACGTTTAAGATTCCGCTGGGAGGGGCACCCGGGTGGCTCAGTGGGTTAAAGCCTCTGCCTTCGGCTCAGGTCATGATCCCAGGATCCTGGGATCGAGCCCACATCGGGCTCTCTGCTCAGCAGCAAGCCTGCTTCCTCCTCTCTCTCTGCCTGCCTCTCTGCCTACTTGTGATCTCTCTCTCTGTCAAATAAATAAATAAAATCTTAAAACAAAAAAAAAAAAGATTCCGCTGGGAGCTGGGCAGCAATTCAGTGGGTGGAAAGACAGGCATGGAAACAGCCTGGGATCCAAGCATCAGCTGCACCACTTAACAGTCCTGAGAGGAGCAAATCACCCCTCCATGCCCCTAGGGATGC